CCAATGCAATGCTTTGTTTGTAAATAGAATGGGGGAAATAAAATTTGAGCACCAGTGGGGGACAGAAGGATTTCTCTTAAGCTGTCTCCCCAATTATATGTACCAGATTTAGCTACTTGAGAATGACTGTACACTAGGTGGTCAGCGAAAGTAGGTTATTCTCCTTAACAGCCATCTAGAGCGGCCAGATTGTATAGTCTGACTCACCCTAAGTGCGGCCCAGTCCCTTCTGTTATTATTCCCTTGAAGCAGTGCCCATAGGCAAGCCCGGGACCACTCTAAGATGACTAAGCTTAGGTTACCATCTTGCTACACATGCCCCCCATTCCCTCCTCTTACTATTGCACATTCACCCCTAGGTCATCCCCCTCCTATTGCTTGTATTGTCTATGTTGCAACCCCTCCCTATGACGCAGGTTGTTGTGAACTGTACTGCCCTGTGACACATGATCCTGTGATGTATCCCCCTAAAGTAATATGATACATGGTTAGCAATAAATAAGGAGGTTCCCTGGTTCTCGGGGTGGTGGCTGAGGACGAGGAAGCTGCTTCTACTCTGACGGCTAAGTCCCCCCCATGAGGAACACAGAGCGGGGCTGAGGTAACCAATGCTACCATGAACTGCGTCTGACTCCATTACTTGACTCCATCTTTTTTTTTTTTATGGTGTGTTTCATCAGTATTTTTTTTTTTAAACATTAGGGGCTCATACAACTGTTATCGCAATCCATACACACATCAATTGTGTAAAGCGCCATTTGTACATCATTCTCAAAACATTTTCTCTCCACTTACACCCCCAACATTAGGTCCTCATTTTTCCCCTCCCTCCCTGCTCCCCCCTCCCTCATGAGCCCTTGATAGTTTATAAATTGGTATTTTGTCATATCTTGCCCTGTCCGATGTCTCCCTTCATCCACTTTTCGGTTGTCTGTCCCCCAGGGAGGAGGTCACATATAGTTCCTTGTAATCGGTTCCCTTTCCTACCCACTCTCCCTTTACCCTCCCTGTCTCGCCACTCACACCACTGGTCCTGTAGGGCTCATCCGTCCTGGATTCCCTGTATTTTCAGTTCCTATTTGTACCAGTGTACCTCCTCTGGTCTAGCCACACTTGCAAGGTCGAATTCGAGTCATGGTAGTGGGAGCGGGGAGGAAACATTTAGGAACTAGAGGAAAGTTGTATTTCTTATCATTGTTACATCGCACCGTGACTGGCTCATCTCCTCCCCGAGACCCCTCTGCAAGGGGATCTCCAGTGGCCTACTAATGGGCTTTGGATCTCCACTCCGCACTCCCCCCATCATTCACTATGGTAAGATTTTTTGTTCTGATGATGCCTTACACCTGATCCCTTCGACACCTCGTGGTTGCATAGGCTGGTGTGCTTCTTCCATGTGGGCTTTGTTGCTTCTCAGCTTGATGGCCGCTTGATTACTGACTCCATCCTTTAACTCTCATGCTATGACTTTACTATAATCTTTACTTGTTATCGCTGTACAATTGCGCCTACCAAACCTGTGATGTTTTGTGGGGTTCCCTCTCTTTAACCCCACAAGCACCCACTTTATGTATGTTTCCTTACATTACTTGTAGTTATTTTTATGCTAGCTGTCACAGATGAGGAAATAGACCCTAGGATGAGGTTAGGCTCAAGTTTCCCATGGAGGAAGTGGTCATTTGCATTTCGAACCACGACCCTTCTGAGGGCAGTCTACATACTCCTACTGCCAGATGCCACTTCCCATGAGGTGAAGGGCCCACGAGCTCACCCAGGAAGAGCTGGCCAATCTGGCTCCAAGGAATGGGCCTGGGGCCAGGCCAACCAGACTGGACTTCACTGCTTGGGAATGAGGGATTAAGAAGACCTACCGTCTTTGCCCCAAGGCAGTGATTACGTCAGAAGGAAACTGTACCAGTTCAAATCACAAAGTACCCAAAGGCAGAGGGCCAGGTGAGCAAGTGCCAGTCGAACTGCGAATGTGAGACCTTAAGAGGAGGCTGGCCCTGGAGGAACTCTCCTGCCCAATTACCCAGTGTCACTCACCGGAAACTAGCTTTTTGATATAAAGCGTTTTTCTGTAGGGCAGCAACAGCACCCAACTGGAAATGTAATCCCTCTCAACTGACTGTGATTAGACAGCATGGACGAAATGAAGGCAGATACTGTCAGGGAGACAGAGTTGAGAAGAACTGTTACAGAAAGTGCATCGTTCATCCGGCTCAGAGGCAGGGTAGCGCCAGAGCTAGTAAAAAGTTCTGCTCCCTAGAAACACATTGTACACTGAGGCAGCCGGAAGCCTCACCATCGGGCACATGACTGAACCTTCTGCACATCAAACGCTCTCATGACTTGTTCTCATCTTCCAAGCCTACCTGAACAAAAGCATTTCTTAGAGTTACCCAATACTATGAAGGTAGTGTCTTAAAACAAATAGTTATTGAAAAACAAGAATAATCCTCACTGGCAATCAATCTGTGCATTGTGGAGTAGCAGCCAGTCTTTGGGGGTCATTCAGAGCGTGAATGGGCTTGCCATACATTATACAGCGTGGTCAATTGCAACACCTAAGTGTGAGGGGTCTGGGCAAGCAGCTGTCAAGGAACAGACCTGCAGGGGAAAAGGAAGTGGCACCACCAACCTCAGCCTTTGTGCTGGGGCTCGGCCAGTGCCTCAGGTACGGAGCAGGCTGCCCTCTGGCCTCAGGGTTCCCTCTCCTGCGAAGGGCAGTCCTACCTTAGGGATCTGTGACCCCAAGTTCCTGAGTGAACAAAGTAGAGGACTGGATTCTAGAAACAAGTAGTCCCATTTCCTAGTTCTCATGCAGTCAGACTGTCCTCACTTCCTACCTTTCCAATCTGTCACCCCACAGCCCTCCATCACATGTCAGTCTCCACTGCTTATACCTTTTGCCTTCAGGGGAGGAAATTCCTACGTAGCCACAACACCAACCACTACCACTACCATCAGGAGACAAAAAACTGGTATCTCCAAGACCCACCCAGTTACTGTTGAGTCAAAGTGACCCAAAAAGGCAGAACGATGCTTCTTCAGGTTTCTAAACCTTGATGGGAACAGAAAGCCTCGCTTTTCACCTACAGAGTAGCTGGTGGGTTTTAACTACTGACCTTGTGAATCACAGCCCAATTTGTAACCCACTGTGCCACCAAGGCTCCACTTCCCAGACAGTGCTTCTTAACCAGGGTGGTGCACCAGGTTCACCTCTGGAGCCTAAAACACACAGATATGTACTCTGGGCCCATCCCATGAGATTTCAAGGACAAGGCTAGACTATCTGTATTTAAAAGAAATCTAGAAGCAATTTTGAAGTACACCTAATCTAGGCTAATCATAAATGTTCCAAAGTGTAGAAAGAACAGCCTCCTCTTTCTCTAGACCACCTTCTGATTAGTGACTGCTCTCCGTCACTCAGGGCTTCCAACACTGTGAACACTGCTGCTCGGGCAGCTATGAGGATACCAACAGTGTGTACTGAGCATCTGCCATGCTTCAGTCACAGGAATCAGGTACTGGGGATTCAGACAGGTAACTAAGAGAGCACAGACTTAGAGACAGGCTAACTTGTAATACATACATCATTGGCTGGGGAAATCTAACCTGGTCCACTGCAGGCCAGGGAAGGCTATTATCCAGTTGCTTTTTGAAAAACCAAACAAACGAAAAAAACCTGCCAAAGAAGGAACACTCACATTGTTTTCTCCAACAGAGCATGATAGAAAGGGGGCTAGACCGCACCTGCCAGCAGCGAGGCAAGTCCCAGCTCTCACACGCTCACTGTGCCTGCTTTTATTAAAATACCACCTGGAGAATGATGGCCAGCTGCGCGGATTGTTGGCGCTGTCTGCCAAGGGCTCGACTGCTAATGTACAAAGTCTCCTTGGGGAGAGAGACGACACTCCTAAGGATTTAGTCTTGGAAGCAGAGGAAGCAGGTTTGAGACGGGCTTTCCGCACAACTTGCTCTTAGTGACCTCATTCCATTTCCGGTTACCTTTCAGTCCTGTCTGAAGTGCTAGCCTGTCTCTATTTGTTTACTCACCACGAGTCTTTCCTCACGTGGCTATCAGCTCTGTGCAGACCAGATCCTAGCTTCGTCAATGCCTCCCCTAACATTAGCTCCTCATGACAGCGGCAAGCAGAGTAGTTTCTCAGTGTGCATTCCCTGAAAGAATGGTGATCCAAACAGCACTTGTGGTGCGTGAGCCAGGCCAGTCTGGAGGGACTGCATGCCCACAGTGCTGTTCCCTCGCTGGCAGCAGTTTGTATGGCACAGGAGAGCAGGCCTGGGCTTCACAAGCAGATAAAACTGGGTTTCCAGACCGCTCTGTTGCCTGATGGATGTGTGACTCGGGGCAAGTTGATTCCTATAAGCTTTAGTTTGCTGAAAAATGTGGAAATGATTGCCATGGTTCAGGTTAACTATGAGTTTCACTGCCAACGTAGTGAATGGTTAACAGTGTTGCTCAGAGAATCAAGTTCTAGAGGGCAATGAGGAAGAATTTGTTACATTAAAATGTGAGTACTCTTGACCCAGCATCAACTTCTGGGACTAGGCTTTACAGAAGAATTAAAGGTATGTACAGGAGTTTCCTCTGTAACAATAATAAATTAGTATGTGTACACACACACATACACACACACACACACACACACACACAGTTTCGAGTGCCTCCCATTAAAGGGATGATTCAAAACCTACACTGAAGTGTCTAGCATAAGGCCTGGCTTTAGTAGACTCTTGGTTCCAGATAAGGAAACAGACTTAAAAGAAAGGAAAATCACTTGCTAAAGTATCAATGTCAATACTTTGTCATAAAATTAACCACACTAAAATGTTACAGAATCTCATCATGGGGAGAAGCAGATAGTGTCAGCGCATGAACTCTGTGAAGTCCTGTGCACATCACTTAATGAGCACGGCTGCAAAGGCGGCTTTACGCGTCATGACGCGTCCGGAGTCCTTTTCCTGCTCAAGACAACTGAAACTATAAAGGCCTTTTAATAAAAACGGCTTCTTTGTCACAGTGAAAAACCACGTACTTATAAGGTGTATCAGGAGGCCAAGGCTTTACACAGCATTACAAGGCTGATATGCTGATGCCTGGAGAAGAGGTGCTTCCTCCCTGGAGAGCTGGGAACCCACAGGCGGTCCAGATTGCTCTGCTAACAGAGCACGGGGCTGGCACATCCCTCTGGAGTCTCTAGGGTCTGCTACTTTCACGCATGCCCTCTTGGAGCCAGGCCGCCGCCCTCTGTGCGGGGAGGAGAGGCTTCTCAGGTCTGCAAGAACTCTGGCTGGACGCGCGCCACTTTCCGGAATTCTTTAGTGTGGGTTTTGGGGCACTGCATTTCACACCAGCTGATGGGAACCATCTGGACACCTGGAAGGGAAAAGCTGCTGATAAGAGTGGGCACCCACCTAATTGCCTGAGACCCTTCTCTTTTCAGCTAGGCATGGCGCCTGAGAGAAGCGGCTCCAAGCTAACCCTGAATCTCCCAGGAAAAAAGGACTTACGAAGTGTCCCCTTCCTTCCCCCTGCTGATTCCTTAGTTACAGAAGAATAGTTTAGTATCTGGAGTATCTACACCCATACTGTTTCCTAGATAATGAAAAACAAGGGAAGTGGGCACAAGCCTGGTGGCACTCAGGAGAGTTGCTGTGGGTACCCGAAGTGACCCACCTGATTCACTGTGGGCCACCACCACGCCCAGCTCATTCTCCGCTGTGGTCAGCAGGTAGTTGGACTGTGCATCACCTAGAGAGATCTAGTCACGTGACATTGGTGAAGGAAAAAGGAGGTTAAGTCTGGGTCCCCGACAGCTCCTTCACTACTTTGGTAAGGGACCAGAAGTCTGCCGAGACAAAAGGATACCACTTTGGCCAAGACAATATCACCTGGGCGGAAACTCTTATAAATTTCAACCTGTAAGGAAAGAACAAAAGTGGTAAGCGGAAGCACTTCTCCAGGGGTACAGGCAACTACCAGTTCCTCTAGGTGGGGCCAGTTTATATCCTAATTCCACAGGATGGAGGTGATCATTACCCAATCCACTCTATTGCTCCTCTATACTAGCACCTACTTGGGGTAGTTTTAATTCAGTAGCTCTGAAAGGGCCCAGAGTGAATCTGAGAACAGCAATGAATAAAGACCTAGCTTCAAAGAGAGTGAACAGATTCACCTCTCTCTGAACGACAGAGTGAGCAAAAATGATACGAGGAAAGGGTTCACAGTGAGGTGAATGCCATACCTTACAGTAGAATACAGCCAACTTCCCTGCACCCCACAGTTCTATGGGGGTTGAGGTACATCAGGTTTACAATGTAAAACAACTGAGATTCCTAATCTGAAACCCTCGGACTGCAAGTTGATTCTGATTCCTAGTGAGCCAGGTGTCTGAGCCTGTGAAGCTTTTATGGGGAAAGAAAGCTTCATCTTTCTTCCGAGGGTGGCTGGTGAGTTTGAACTGCCAACCTTGTACTGAGCAGCCCAACTAGTAACCCACTGTGCCACCAGGGCTCTTTGAGATTCCTCAAGCTATGGGGGAAAAAAGAAGAAAAGGAACCAACCAACCTTGTCTTTTTCAGTAGCTCGGATATCTTCCTTGCTGTAAAAAGGTAATTAAAAGATTGTTTGTAAGAAAAAAGTACCCTGCAGAGCCCTCACAGCCAACGAGCTCTGAGAGCAGACTGAAAGTGCCAGGAGGAGGCGGGGAGAAGCAGCTCCAGGGCCCACTGGAGGGGGGACCTCAGGGGACAGCCAGGCCAGTGCTGCTAACCAGAGAAAACCATCAGGCTTGGCAGGAAAGGCTGCCTCAGAGAAGTTGAACAGAAGCACTGTAGAACCACGTAGAGGTTCTGGAGAGGGGCTTAGAAGTTTGCAAGATGACTTGTTCCTTCTCGAAGAAGCCCCATAGGAATTGGGGAAAAAATTCTAACACTTCAATGTTACAATCCTTGGGGTTAATCTAAATTGATTTGAAAAAAAAAAGGGCATATTTCCTAAAATGCCTTTCAATTTGTTTGGTATGAATCACTCTGTATTGCTAATCCTCAGCTCTGCTCAGCTCTATCATCTTTTCAAGAAGAGAACATTTATTAAGTCTAAAGGGACAAGGACAAGACACCGACAGAGACACATCGTCTGGATGGGGGAGACCATTAGCATGAAGTCCCAATGGTCTCCCAGGGTTTGTTGGGATTGCTACACAGCTTTAAAAAGGATTTGCTCAATTCTTTTCACTTTATTTTAAAATTAATCTTTTCCATTTGTCCTAGCTCACACGTTTTGACACTTTTTGGAACACTACTGGAAGAGAATCCAAGGACATAGAGGAGATAGAGCTGAGGAGGAATGGCAACTTCCCTCAAATTGCAGTCTCCTCCTACCCTAATCTCATTCCAGCAGCTGAGATCCTCTGAAGAGAAGACTACTTCTTACCGGATAGTTCCTCGAAAAGAGTTCTTAAGGGGCGTGGACCCCACGTAGAGAATGTGCACTTTGGCAAAGCGGGAATTGATGCTGGAAACCTGTAGGCGAGAACAGATCAGCGGCCGTCAGTCCAAGGAGGCAGCAGTAAGCAAGAATGACAAGGAATCTGGTTCTGTCAAAATGTTGAGTCCGTGTTACAGGAGCCCTACATAGGTCTCCAAGGCTGTGAATCTTTATGGGAGCAGGCAGCCTCCGCCATCTCCCGCAGAGCAGCCTGAACTGGACCCAACACGTAAGCCCCAGTGCCTCCAGGGCTCCTGAAGTAGACTACCGCAGACACGTTAACGCCTACTTCTCTCTGCACAAGTGCTGGGTGTAAAGTGGAATACGAGCCATCAGGCCATCTGAGAGTGTTGTCATGGGAATCAAATGTGCTGATGTGGTATAGACTTTGAAAAGTCGGGAAGTTTAACATGAATCATCACAGTACTATAGCATACCTGGACCCTTCACAGCTGTTACTAGGAGGTCGACGCAGTGGGGGACTTTTAAGTGTATGCTGCAGCGCTATGTGGTATCTCGAGCACTAGCTCTCCAGTTATTTTCAGAATAACACAGATTTTTTTAAAAATTAAGTTTTAATGACCTATAACTCACGTCATACAATTCAATGGTTTAAACAAGAGTGGTGTGTCACCACAATCAATTTTAGAAATAACAAAGATAATTGGCTAGAGCAATTTATCAAGAAAGAAACTAACAGCTATTAGTTTAACATAGCAGAGGGTGAGTATGGGCAGGGAGTGCTGGAGTGCCACAGCATTCATCGGCACTTTCCTGGAAATGTCCTAATACACTGGATCTCTTTATCACCCTATGGTAGTCCTGTTTCTCAGACTAAAGGGGAAACGACATACCTAGGAAGTCAGCTCAGAGACAACTGCCTGGGCCTGCAGTGGACTGTACTGAACACTGTCCAAGAAATCTCTAGTACAGCACCCCTCAATAGAACTTTCTCTGACCGAAGTGCCATATTGGTCAATACAGTGGCCACTAGCCATTGTGGTTGGCTGAACACTTAATGTGTACCAAGTGCAATTTAGGATATGAGTTTTATTTTAATTTAAGTGTATTCCTATAGCCTTAAGTAGTAGCTAGTGGCTATTGCAGTGGGCATTTTCACTCTAGAATGATTACCATTTCAGTGATCACGTAGTGGACATGTTATAGCAGGAAGAACACTTACCTTACAGGTTACAACAGCCCCCACAGTCGGCATTAACTGGGATTCCGTCTCTCTCATCACAGACACCACAGGCAGCTAAAGAGAGAAGAATGAAAAATAGGTACGCTTGGGGAAAGTACGTGGCTTAATAATAATAAAGGAATCTCTTGGTCCACAGTTGAAGTGACATTGTGAATTGAGTAGAGTGCCTTAGAAGCGCTAGGAAATGTGTGGGCGAAGGGTCCTGAGGTATGGTGGTGGCGAGGCCTGTTCTCCTGGAATGTAAGAGACTAGTGGGGAGCATAGCTGAGTGCTTAATTATATGCTGAGGTGAGGGCTCAGAAAGATGATAGTTCTTGGCAAGTGTTGAACAAAACAGAGAAACAATAACAACAAAACCGTTCCCACAAACCGCTTTTCTCAGCTAGTGGGGCCAAGTAGGCTTCTTTGGGATGATAACCCCAAGAGACTAGTAGGAGGATTGGTCAGCAGGACAGAAGTTAAGCTAGTCTAAAGGGAATGGAAAGGAGGAACTAACAAGGCTATAGAGGCACCCAGGGGGTGCAGTGGTTGTGATCTGGGCAGCAGTTGGATAGGTCGTAGCAGTTTGAAACCACCAGCAGCTCTGTGGAAGAACTCCTGTAAAGAGTTAGTCTCAGAAACGCACACGGGACAGTTCTACCCTTCCCTATAGGATCACTGTGAGTCGGCTTCGAGTCCTTGGCAGTGAGTTTGTTTTTTACATAGGGGGCATGCGTGTTCCAGACAGATGGCCTATGGATAAAGTCTTTATGCCTGAAGAGAACTTCGCTTTGGCGAAAACTGGAGAAGCCAGTATGACAAGACTGCAGAGAGATGGAGAGAGAGAAAGAAGCTGAAGCCAAGAATAGAGGCGTCACTCAAGACCGTAGTGCTGGGTTATTTTCAGTTCATCGTCACCGTGCCCCACAGGCCCTAGCACATCGCAGCTGGGTGTACAGCGGCAGGGCGCTATCCGCTGCAGCGGCAAAGTCAAAGCCAGCCCGGCGGGCGGACCACAGCAGCTCCATTGCACTGCCCAGGCTGTACTCTTCCTCCCAGTTAGTACCACCTACCTCTGGGTTAGGGGCCCAAAGCTTAACTGGAAGAAATTTGGAGACCAAGCGTGCGTATCAAGGCTCCTACTTCACACTCAAAAAAGTCGATCCCCAACTACAGGACCGAGTAGAAGCACCCCTGTGGGTTTCCGAGGCTGTTCATGGTTACGGGAGTAGAAACCCTCGTCTTTCTCGGGCGGAGCGGGTCGTGGGTTCCGAAATGCCGACCTCGCGGCTAGCGGCCCGAGTCGCCACCCACCAAGCCACCTTCCTAAGAGCCGTGGCATCTAGGGCAGCCTAGGGGAAAGGCGACCGATGGAAAACCGTGGCCCTTACCGCGCCGTTCTCGCTGCTCTTGGCCAGGCAGCCGGCAAGCGACGAGAAGATGTAGCCGTGCCGGGTGTACGTGCCGCTGCCCGGGCTGCCCTCCTCCAAGTTACACAGACGTTCGCCTGCGGAAGAAACGCCGCGTCAGCCGCAGGCCCCCAAACAGCCGGCCGGGCAGCCGCTGTCCCTCTCGGGGACTCCGCAGACGCGGCTCACTTACCGGGGACGCAGTACCTCACCGGGGGAACCATGACTGCGCCGGGCCGAGGCCGGAGGCAAGAAGCCGGCTTCTTATTGGTGGAGTGCAGGCGCAGGCCCTCAGCAATCAGCACGCCCATTGGTGAGCTCTGTCACGTGACCCCAACAGCGCCTCCTGGAGGCGAAACTTCATTTCCCAGGTGGTCTCCAGGGCCGTCTAGGGGCGGAGCTCCGGGGCTCCTGCGCTTTGCGCCTGCGCCGGCGGTTCAGGATGGGCTGGCTGTGGGTCCGGGTCCCCTGGCTGGTGCTGCGGGCTGCGGGCCACGCTGTGTCGGGTTGATCCGGGCTCGTCTGGGGCGCCGAGCTGGAGGGGCTGGCAGTAACCGGCGGCGGAGGCTGCGGGGCTGAATTTAGCTAAAGAGAGAGGCGGCAGGTAAGGGCGAAGCGGCGGCTCTTGCGCTTGTCCTATCCCTTTTTCTAGGGTCGGGCCCTTCCCCGAGTTGTAGGGAGAGCCTGGTTCCTGCTCCGTCTGCGCCCCGCCCTGCAGGGAGGTGCCCTTCTCTGGCTGGCCGAGTTCACCCTCTGGGCACCTGTAAAGAGCAGATCCCGAATGAGACCCAACGCCACTGGCCCATTTCCCGGATTTGGAAGCTCAGGTTCAGAGACGAAACGTCGCTTGTGCACACTCTCGAGGTAGAGCTCACACCGGAGTGTTTTGTTTTGTGTGTGTGTTGTGTGTGTGAGACTTTCAGCCCATCGCCCATTTGGACCGCGCTGTCCTTGGGAAAGAAAACCCCGTCGGGCCCATCTTTAGCTTCTGACATTGATTTTCTCTTTTTCTCCCAGTCGGTTAGTCCGGAAATGAAGTCATGCACAGGAATAAGTGGTGCCCTTGACCGATGGTTGAGATCGGGGCTGCTAGAGACTGCAGACATTCTGAGGGCAGCAGCGTGGTCCAGAGGAGACTTGCCACGACTTTCCTTTCAGTTTCTGCCGCCGTCTGGTGGCTTTGGGATCTCTCGCCCTCCGATTGGGTTTCCCCGCGGGGCAGATGGTGATTTAGCGCCCTGGGAGGAGGGTGTTCTCCCGTGAGTGCTGTGGCCTGCAGTCCCCTGTAATTGGCTGACAGATGTCACTGTGGCCACGACTCAGTGCTCAGGGCTTATGTTGGGGGGACAGTGAAACTGTGCTTTGCTCCATTATCTCCCAAGTTGCCTCTGCAGGAGCCCTCATGGCACAGTGGCACTGAACTATTAACGGAAAGGCTGGCAGTCTGAATCCGCCAGCTGTTCTGGGGAAAAGATGTGGCAGGCTGCTCTTGTAAAGAGTATAGCTTTGCAAACCCTAAGGGCAGTGCCTCTCTGCCCATAGGGTTTCCATAAGTTGGGGTCTAAGGACCAGTAATGGGTTCAGGTGGTGAGGGTCACTGTGGAATGGTTCTCCTCCCCCTTCCTCTTTTTCATGTCTGCTTTATGTTAATTTCTTTAGATGAAAAGTGTATGTTTAGCTGTGGCCTGAGGATGACATACATATCTCTTCTCAGCATTCTCTCACCACCACATAACGTTGACGGTCTCTGGCTGCATACTTCACTCAAATCTCATCTGTGGCTCTGTGTATACAAGCTTTATGCTACATGTTTGAGTTGGTTTCACATTGAATTTGTTTTCTGAATGTCTTCTAGCCTACCTGTGGCCTGATTCTAATATCGGCTGATGTTTCTCACTGGTCAAGAAGAGTGTTAGGTAGGCAGACAGTTATTTAGTGTTGTCACATTGGTAATAGTGCCCTCGAAGGTATTTATAGGATTGGTAGACATCTGACTAGCGTTTCCACTTCTGCATCTCTCAGCCAGTGTTCCATGTCATTTGTTCATTGTGAGTTTTTCTGGAGTACTTCTGTGAGTATGGTATCGTACCAAACACTTTATAAACATCTCACCAAATCAAATAGAGGTTTTCATAAAGGTTTAGAACTGGGAGGACTTTAGCACTTAATCCTACCCCATTGCATGGTAACACAAGGAGACTGATTCCAGCAAAGCTCCGGGATTTGTCCAAGATCACAGAACTGCTTAGGGCCAACGTTGTCCCTGAAGTGTCCAGGGTACGGGCAGATGAGAAGAGGTAAAGTTAGCTTTTGAGGCACTTGTAGCCTATAGAGCTTTGAATTTCAGGCGGTGGGTGAGAACAATGGGAAAAGTGGGGAATCTGACATTTCCCACTCCCCCTAGATTTCATTTTGCTGTTGACAATATATGAGGGGCTTCAAAAGGCTTGTGAATACTGCGTTGTCTTTTAATTCCATTTGTCCAGAAACTTTCTGAAGTCCTCTGTACACAACACAATGTACGCCATCTCAGCAGTTTATGCAAGTACAGTTTGGTGGCGTTGATTATCTCCTTCCAGTTGAGCAACCCTTCTTTTCCTCCCTCATTAGCATGCACCCACAGCCCCCTCAGGGCCCTATCTTGTCTTCCAAGTCTCCTTTGTCCATTTGATCCCCGACAGTTCTTTAAAAAGCATAATCCTCAAGGCAAAACTTTTTAATTAGGCTAAAATCTTGTTCTCATTTAACCTGCCTTCAGGGGATATTTTGAGTTCACAGTTCAAAGATGATAGCAGGGCACTGATTTCAGGGATTCATCCATTTTCCCTAACTCCAGAAAGTCTAGAGTCCATGAGGATTTGAAAATCTGTTACGTGTTTTCTCCCTTTATATCAGGATTCTTCTATGGAATCTTTGACCAAAATGCTCCGTACCAATAGCCGGGCACCATCTAGTTCTGGTCTCATGGCAAAGGGGTAGCTGTTCATAGAGGCAGTTAGCCACACATTCCGTATCCCCAGACGATTCCTGATTCTCCTTCTGTTGCGCCAGGTAAACAGGCAACAATTAATTGTGTCTCGGATGCCCACTTTCCAGCTTTTAAGACTCCAGGCACTATGTACAGAAGTAGGAGGTATAACAGAAACCCTAAACATTAGACCAGTGAATTGGGGTGTCCCATCAAGCCATGCCCTAAACCTCCAAATGAAGGAGCCAAATTCTTTTTTTTTTTTTTTTAACATTTATTAGGGGCTCATACAACTGTTATCCCAATCCATACACACATCAATTGTGTAAAGCGCATTTGTACATCGTTTCTCAAAACATTTTCTCTCCATTTAAACCCCCGACATTAGGTCCTCATTTTTCCCCTCCCTCCCCGCTCCCCCCTCCCGCATGAGCCCTTGATAGTTTATAAATGGGTATTTTGTCATATCTTGCCCTGTCCGACTCTCCCTTCATCCACTTTTCGGTTGTCTGTCCCCCAGGGAGGAGGTCACACACAGTTCCATGTAATCGGTTCCCTCTTTCCTACCCATTCTCCCTTTACCCTCCCTGTTTTGCCACTCACACCACTGGTCCTATAGGGCTCATCCGTCCTGGATTCCCTGTATTTTCAGTTCCTATCTGTATCAGTGTACCTCCTCTGGTCTAGCCGGACTTGCAAGATCGAATGCGAGTCATGGTAGTGGGAGCAGGGAGGAAACATTTAGGAACTAGGGAGCCAAATTCTAAGGTATATAGTTGTACATAAGCACCCTTAGCAGCTTTTTAAAAAAAAATTCAGTTTTTTACAGGTGTACAACTTACAGATGGCAATTACATTAATTGGCTGGCAACTTTACCCTTGATCAGTGGTGTGAGTTTTCCATCATTGTTAACCCTCACTTATTTCTGCTCAGCATGTCTTCAAGCCCCTCCAGACTGGATCAAGACCTCCTAATTATTCCTGCTGGCTGAACAGTATTCCATTGTATGTCCGTAGGCACATCATCTTTTCCAGCCTTCTGTCTTTTATTTCCAGTGTTGCAGTCAACACTGGTGATACAAGTCTCTTCCCCACCCCCACCCCCACGTCCTCTGGGTATGTACCTAAGAGTGGAATTGCTGGGTCATATTCTGTTTTTTTTCATTTTTTGAAGAGTACCACCTTCCCTGCCAGTGGCTGAGTCGTTTTGCATCACCCCCCACCCCCCAGCAATGCAGCCATCCTAGCAGGAGTGAGGTTGTGATCCCCCTGTGATTGGACTCTCACCTCCCTGACGGCCATAGTGGTTATGCATTGGGCTGCTAATAGCAAGGTCAACAGTTTGAAACCACCTGCTGCTCTGTGGGAAAAAGATGAGGCGTTCTACTCCCGACAAGAGTTGGAGTCTTGGAAATTCAGAGGCCCATAAGGTTGCCCTGAGTCGTAGCGGATTCGCTGGCAGTGAGTTTGGGGTGGGTTAGTTTGTGCTCCATTTCGATGGCCTGAAGACACTGAGCATCTCCCGTGTTTGGTGGCGGTCCGAATGTTCTCTTTGGGGACATGCCAATTCAAATGCCTGGCCCATTTTATGATTGGATTATCTTCTTGTTGATAAGTTGTTGAAGTTTCCGACGTGTTTTGGCTCCTAGATTCTTGACGGATGTGTGGTTTCTGAACGTATTCTTCGACTCTTCTCCCTTCTTTGGGAAAGGGAAGGTGTTGGGTAGTGACCGAGAAGCTGTGTGCGCTGCCATTTTTCACAAATGAAGAGTGCAGTTGATAGGCTCACCATGGCTCTGAAACGCCATGCGTGCGGCGGACAGGCAGCTTGCCGTCCTCCACAGTGCAGGAATGAACAGTTGTGTGGACAACCCATGTGACCTACCTGGCTGTGCTGGGGTGATCTGCTCTGTCCAGATGAGAATCTGATGGCAGTGGCAGTCCAGGAATTTGAAAATACATGCTTCAAGGCAAATCTTGATTCCCAACAGGAGGAAGCCGGCTCAGAGAAGGTGGTGGGTTTGAATGTTTCCCCTTTTTCTGCCCCGTCACGCTCTTCTCTTATCTCCTAGGAGGTGCTAGGGATGGGCCGTCCCTTCATCCCAGTGCAGAGTGTGGGTCTTCTCCTCTCTCCCTGAGGGCCATGCTTCCTGGCTATCTGGTTGCCTTCGGCTGCTCTCGGGCCTGAGGAAAGAGGTAGGGTAATTTAGCGCTTTCTTTGCGAGGCCTTCGGTGGGGCAGAGCCAGGTGCAAGGAGAGCACCGTGCTCCGGTTACTGAATTGAAGCCTCCCTGGAGCTGAGCAGCCTCCTCCAGTTTCTGCTGGGTTTGAGCCGCCTGTTAAATAAGTCAGTGGAAGGAGTTGCTGAGGACAAAGCAGCCCTCCGGGCCATTGCAGGGGATCATCAGATCACTTCTTTTCTGATCCAGTCCTGTAATCTGCAGATGTGAGCCGGCCATTGGAGGAATTGGGTAGAGCATCCAGCTTCTGCGCAAGACTCTGTGTTGGGTGGGAGGGACAGACATGATGTGGAGGAGGTGGGGGTGCTGGCAGAGGTGCCGTTTCATGGCACCTGAAAGGGGATGGCCAGGAAGCTTGGGCCCAGGGACGTCAGGGAGGTCCCTTCCCACCACACTCTTTCCTGCCTGTGGTACCTGGAGCTGCCTCGGGGCAGGACTGGAAGTGGATAGGAGGTAGCTAGTGTCATGCAAGGGGCAGCCAAGCCATCCTGGTGAGGAGCCCGGGGAGTTCATGGTGCCAGGGTAGGCTTGCTGGCCCGCATTGTTAGCCCTGAGCAGGTGAGGAGGAGGAGTAGGAGGAGAAGGAGGAAGAGGAGGAGCTTTTTGGCCAGGACTCAAATAGTGTCATCTAGACGCAGACCCACATGCCGGACACTCACCCCCCGCTTTCAGAGCCAGCTGTTTGTCTCGAAGAACACTTGTTAGGAGGAAGAGTGATGGGCCAGGCAGGCAGGCGGCCCACACTCCTGCTAGTAGTCCAGCTACGGAGCGAACTCCAAAGACCCTGCAGGAGCTGCCTGCTTCTCTTCCACGCCTCCCCCGTGGCCCTGACCTTGGTGATCGAGTGGTGCTGGCACAGAAATGCCACGGGTGGCTTAAAAAAACAAAACAAATGTATTTTCTCTTGGGTTGGGTGCCACGAGTCCAAACTCAGGGCTGGCGAGAAGGCCCTTGTCCCTTGGCATTCTTGGGGTGATGTGTTTTCCCCCCTTCTCCCCTTGAGTCTTCCTGTGCTCATCCAATCCCTTCTCTCTCAAAAGACATACCCCACACCAATACAATACAGTACTGTACCGTACTGTCCCATACCATACCGTACATCACACTACAATACATCACAAGGAAGCCCACTCCCAAGTGGGACTTGGGGCAATCCCAGGTATAGAGGTTGGGACTTAGAACACACTTTGGGGAGACATTGTTCGGTTCATAATAGCCCCATACTCTGGATGCTGACCACCTGAGATCTGCTGCGCACCCACTGGGTGAAATACAGATACGGTGTCTGCAGGTTTAGAACCTGCAGTCCTCCTATGTGACATGGTTACGACCTTGGCACTGTGTGTTCCCTAGAGCAGTATAGTGACCTTTCTACTTCCCACAGCTGGTGGCTGGCCCACAGCCTTGCGTCTGTCATTGGAGCTGGTGCTCTGGGCATGCCCGCCGGTGGGGTAGGGAGGCACAGGGACCAGGCTGGGTCCTCACGATGGTGTGTCTTCTTAGGAGACATGCGGAGCCAGCGGGGCCTGCTGCTGGGCCCCGCCCGCCTCTGCCTGCGCCTGCTTCTGCTCCTGGGCTACCGGCGTCGCTGCCCGCCCCTGCTCCGGGGCCTGGTCCAGCGCTGGCGCTATGGCAAGGTCTGCCTGCGCTCCCTAATGTACAACTCCTTTGGGGGCAGCGACACGGCCGTCGAAGCTGCCTTTGAGCCGGTCTACTGGCTGGTGGACAACGTGATCCGCTGGTTCGGGGTGGTGAGTGATGCCCAGGGAGCAGGGAAAAGGATGTGTTGGGTAGGAGAGGGGCACAGAGGGGCACGTTCGAGAGACAAACCGCTCTCCTTAGGGAAATCCCTACATCTACTGAGGCATTGACACGCAGCTGTGGCTGGGTCACCCGACCCACCCTCTGAGACCTCGCTGGTATTGGCAGGTGTTTGTGGTGCTGGTGGTCGTGCTGACCAGCTCCATCGTGGCCATCGCCTACCTGTGCGTCTTGCCCCTCATCCTGCAAACCTACTCGGTGCCACGGCTCTGCTGGCACTTCTTCTACAGCCACTGGAATCTGATCCTCATCGTCTTCCATTACTACCAGGCCATCACCACACCACCCGGATACCCACCCCAGGTGGGTGCCCATAGGAGCAGGGGGTCGGAGTTGCAGGCTGTGGGGAAAGGGCTCCTTGGTGCCCTCTGAGGTGCTGCCACAGCTGCCGTGCGGGTCTCCCCTTGCTCAGGGCAGGAACGACATTGCCGCGGTCTCCATCTGTAAGAAGTGCATTTACCCCAAGCCGGCGCGGACGCACCACTGCAGCATCTGTAACAGGTGGGTCCCGCTTGTGCCCGCTGGGAGCCCCCGCTGGGCCTTCCACTGTAGCCCCAGGGCAGAACCTAGACCTGCAATTGGACCATGACTCTCCTGGCACACACACCTTGTCTCAGCTCCGGTCCTCAGTCTCCTGGCAACTAGTCCTCAGCGTGGCCCCGTGAGTTACGTGTCTTTGCCACTAGTCGAGACTGGGGTTTGGAGAGCGGTGTTACCTTGCCCAGCGTCACACAGCCGACAGGTGAGAGAACTGGGTTTGAAGCAAGGCCTGGCTGTCCTCACAGTCTGCCCTTTCCACCTTGGCAGGATGCTGATCCCAGTAGGAAAGGCTTGGGACTGGCCTCCCGGGCGCCTTGGTCACTGTAACAGAGCCTGTGTCCCTCCCTCACAGGTGTGTGCTGAAGATGGACCACCACTGCCGTATCCTTTGCCCGAGGCCACCTTGAATGTTGCACAGGGTCAGTGACCACCAGGCCCAGGCTTCTAAGCTTCACTTGGAGCAAGCAGAGGGCTCCCGAGGAGTACCCGGAAGGGCGTGGGGCTCACCATCTCCAGAGGGAGGAGAAGGCTGGCAGCCTCTATGGGACCATCTCCTTGGAGCGTGGACTTTATTCCAACAGCTTCTCCTGTAGATACCATGCCGACACCTAATGGCTGGGTACAGCAAAGATGTCTGAGCTTTGGTTGTCCCCTAGGTGTGTCACACACAAAAAACACTGGTCCCATTCTGCTGTCCCATGGGGATGGCTGATTGACCCCAACTCGGGGAAAGCCTGGGCTTCGTCCTCCCGTAACAGTGACAGTCTCAGAAACCCACGGGGGTGGCTGTGAGTCAGCATGGACCGGGTGACAGGGCGTTGGGTCTGGCTCGGGTTGAGGCCTGGGCCAGATTCACCGAATGGCTTCAGTGTTCCTTCTTTCCTGCCGGGGCTTGTGGAGATTCCTTCGTTTTTTTTTAACCACCAGCAATGTCCCTGCCTTTGGGAAATAGTCCTTGGTGACTGGAACGACTCGGGCCTGGGCGACGCTGTCCTGAGTCACTGGCCCCTCCTTGACCACGGTCTTCCAGCTTGCCCTTAACCTGTGTCTCGCCAGCCTGGCTCAACAACTGTGTGGGCCACTATAACCACCGGCACTTCTTCTCCTTCTGCTTCTTCATGACGCTGGGCTGTGTCTACTGCAGCTACGGGAGCTGGGACCTCTTCCGGGAGGCTTATGCGGCCATCGAGGTGAGCCCACGGTTAGGAGCACAGCACTTCAGCGAGGCGCCTCGGGGTGTGCAGTCTGCCCCTCAGGAGTGGGCTGGCAGCGCCTCATCCGAGAGGCCGAAGGGTGTAATCAGCACTGTTTTCAACCCCTTAGAAAATGAAACAGCTCGACAAGAACAAACTGCAGGCGGGTGCCAACCAGGTGGGCCGACCCCACCCCACTGCCTCCTGCTGCTCAGGCCTGCGGGTAGTTGCGGATGCAACAGGGGCTGGGCTGACTTCTTGGAGGAGGCTGGGCGAGGGCCCCCTGCAGGTTGGACAGGGGGCTGTTCTTGGAGGCCTGTTCTGTTGGGTAGCCGGCCAGTCAGGCTGCCTGTCCCAGGATCCCCTCCGGGCTGAGCAGCGAGTGCAGGGTGATGGCCTGAGCAGCAGGGGCCTGGGGTCTGTGTCACAGGGCTCCCGAGGCCCCAGAGCTCGCTGAATAGTTGGGTCGTTTTGCTCCTGGGCTGTCTGCATCCACGCCAGGACCATCCTGCCTCCTCGTGTCTTTTAGGGCAGTACTCCTAGCAGGTCTTGGGCTCATTAGGTGCCCCCCCAGGTCTCCCCTTTCCCCCATTCTGTTCACCTTGGGTTTGGGTCTGGTCTCCCCATGAGGAGGCACCCACAGAGCGGAGGTGCCCAGCTAGGGAGTGTTCCCCGGAGCCCCGTGTGTGTTGTCCAATCTGAAGGCCCAGGCTCGGCGCCCTCTGTGCTTTGCCAGCTTGTCCAGGCTGCGCTGCCCAGTTTGTCCACATGGTGGTGTCTCTGAGCTTGTGCCCGCCCTGCCGACCCCCCAGCTGCTGCCCCCGACTCCTGTGGCTTGACTCCCGTCTTCTTGGCCTGGGTTGGGGTCGCTTCCTTCCCGCTCTAGTTGCTAGCAGTCACTGTAGACGGAGATGTGCCGGAGAGCGAGCCAGGCTCTGCCCTTTTGTTTTTCTAGACTTACCACCAGACCCCACCACCTACCTTCTCCTTTCGAGAAAGGATAACTCACAAGAGTCTTATCTACCTCTGGTTCCTGTGCAGGTATCCACGTTTCTCTCACTCTCTCCTCCTCTTTTGGATAGTTTAAGGGAGAAAAAGTTTCTCAGGTGCCCAATACCAGCAGGAACCCATATCTGTATAAACTGCACATCCTGTTCTAATTCAGGCTGGCAGTCACCCTTCCCGTGTTTTGTGGCAGGGGACACTTCAGGGCCAGTAACTTGCATTTCCGAGGAGAGAACTTCGAGGGGGACGCTGGGGCTGATGTCAGTTCCATGCGCTCAGACTCCATCTCTGGCCCCTACACCCTCTCCCAAGCATGAGGGTTCTTGGAATCATAGCACATTTTTTCTTAATACTTTATTCATGGACCCTGTAGCTGCTTTTTGCTTAATGATTTTTATAGAGATAACAAAGTAAAAGTGGAACTCGGAGACAGGCCACACCCCACACACTAGACGGTCTGGGAGAGCTCTCTGTGGGCCTTGTTGCCACCATGACTCCCACCCCTGGAGGCCCCACGTGCAGGTAGCACTGCTCCCGGAAGTTTGTCAGGCTGTGTCCTTTAGGAAGCAGACCACTAGGCCTGACTGCCACGTGCGCGTTAAGCACTTCACCACGAGGCCCCCAAACCACAGCTACCACCAAACCCATTGCCATTGAATTAATCCTGACTCAGCCACCTTAGAGAGGGGTAACCGAAGCATTAAGTGTTTTCAGAAGCAACCAGCTTCGTCCTTCTCCAGAGGAGCTGGCTGGGGGTTTGAACTGTCAACCTTACCGCTGGCAGCCTCATGTCTGGCCCAGCACCTTTGAGCGGTCCCTGGGTAATCATGACTGTTCTGGTCTTTGCCCCGCCTCTTGTAGTTCTGTGGCACTCGCCCTGGGTGCCCTGACTGCCTGGCACGCTGTTCTCATCAGCCGAGGGGAGACGAGCATCGAGCGGCACATCAACAAGAAGGAGCGGCGGCGGCTTCAGGCCAGGGGCAGAGTGAGTGGGGCCGGGGCCTGCAAAGGGCACCTGCCGTCCTGTCAACAGCCAGGGCCTGCTAGAGCCAGAAGCCTGCCTTGCCAAGCCTCCACTGAGCTAATTAGCTGTGAAGTTGGGAGGGGAGTAAGTGGAAGGACCTCCTGGAAACGTGTTCCTTTTGGCTCTAGGCATTTAAGAATCCATATAACTACGGCTGTGTGGACAACTGGAAGGTATTCCTGGGCGTGGACACGGGGAGGTGAGTAAGCGTCCTGATAGTGCTGTCCAGTGGAAAAGCCCCAGGCCAGTGCGAACTTGTACAGGAGTCAGGAGCCAGTATGGCTGCTGAGCGCCTGATATGTGGCTGGTGCCCCTGAGGAAGCCACCTTATTTCACTTGAGCCCACAACAGCCACCTGTGGCTAGCAGCTGCCGTGTCACAGTGCAGGACTAGAGCTCAGTGTTCTGGACCAAAGGGGCTTAGCTGCAGAACCACCTAGTTTAATAACGGGCATGGCTTCAAGACGATGAGCCCAGAATCCGGACAAAGCGCTTCTCCAGAAGAGCCCTCCAGTGAGGGCAGTGCCTGGAATCTGAGGGGTGGGGTGGATTTATTGACAGAGGCCCTAAGGCGACAAGTGAAGCAAACTCGAGCACAAGGCCAGAGAGTGCCCATTTCCCAGATGGGAACCGAGGCCGCAGTGGCGGCACTGCCCCCGCGCTCTTCACGACCGTCCTATTCTGATCACTGGCACCCCCTGGAAGGTCAGGTGGGAACTCGGGGAGGCCTTCCGAGCGGCCTTAGCTGGGCTGAAATGGGGAGGCGAGGGCACGGTTGCCGTGACTACTGCCTCGCTCCATGCCTGCCCGAGGAAGGCATGCCTGCAAGGAGGACCTGGAGCTCTTGAACTCAGAGGCCTCTGTCTTCGCTTGTAGGCACTGGCTCACCCGGGTGCTGCTGCCTTCCAGTCACCTGCCCCACGGGAACGGAATGAGCTGGGACCCCCCTCCCTGCGTGGCCACTCCCTCAGCCTCTGTGATGGCTGTGTGAGCGGGAGTGTCGGCTGGGACTGTGACACTTGTTCAGCTCCCTGCGTGGTCGCAAGGAACTCCAAGGGCAGCTTTTCTTGGAAGCTTTGAGCAACAAGAGCCACCAGTGGACCTGTTGTTGGAGCCCATGCAGGCCCGCCCACTCAAGGCAGCCTGCTGGCCACTGGGGCCACAGCAAGGCCCAGGGCGGGGGAGATCCTGGGACCGGCACCCCTTTACTCAGGCAAACAGAAGCTCCAGGCCCAGACTGGGGTCAGGCAGCTAGCCAACTTGCCCAGTGCTGACCACAACTTGGGCTTGGCCATCACATCCTCCACTTGCTGGCTGAGAAAACACCAGACTGGTGCCGCTGAGATCCGGCTTCTCAACAGGGCAGACTGCTGCTGGTGGAGGCCACTGCCAGCCACTGCTCACATGCTGCTGAAGGGGGGAAATAAAGGTATCGGCTTCGTAAAGATTTGTGGCTTCACGCTTTGCCTTTCCTGTAAGGCAGGGACAACGTCAGGCACAGGCAGTAGGTGCTGTGGTCATGTCCCCCATGCCCTAGTGTAGGGGTCAGATGCCCTGGAGAAGTCTTGGCTAGGCCGTCACGACTGCTCCTCTCGTGCCAGCAGTGGCTCTCGGGGTGTGTGGGTGGGGAAGACCTGACAGCCCCATTACCAAAAGCGCTCTTTATTCTCCAGCAGGTACACGCACACATCCACTCTCGTTGGCCTCAGGGCCACCATCCTCTTCCTCTTCCTGCCCTATCACTGGAAGACCCCATCCCAAATCCTCCTCTAGTACAAGTCCTCTCTTGGTCCAGTGCTTCACCAGCTGTCACAAGTCAGCAGCCTCTGGAGCAGCCCTGCAGCAGAGGCCCAGCACTGGTGCTGGGTGAGCAGGAGAGGTGTCCAGAGGTCTGTGGGCCCCCAGACTCGAGTAGGATGGCTCGGTGGTGAGTAACTCTGGGCTCGATTGTCGGTGCGAACAGTCAGCCAACCGAGGGCTCAGCTGCCGGGGCTCCCCAGCAGAAACCTGCAAGCAAAAAGAACACTGGCAGCGGTCGCCGAGCAGCTTGTTTCAGACCCCGTCTCCACAGTCTGGACACTCACCACTCTCCCCTGGCTGACACGGCTTCTTTGCGCACCAGTCTCTTCTTGTCATCCAGGGGCTTGGCTAAGGCCCGGACCACCTGTGGTTTGTATGGCAGCAGCTGGGAAGGCAGAGAAATCATCAACAGAGAGTCGCCCCTGACTGTCCAGGTCACTCTACAAGAACGCACAGCTTGTCCTTTCCCGTTAGGGATTCCAGGGGGTGCCGGGTGGCGGGAAGGCCGCTTTATTATGAAAACACCAGCAAAAGTCGTCTCCGACCCACCGAGATCCCATCGAGAGTCAGGGACTGGAAGTCTTTATGGGAACAGACAGCCCATTTTCTCTAGAGAAGCGCCTGGTGGGTTTGAACTACTGACTCTGGGGCTTGTAGCCCAACACCTACACCACACTGCCACCAGGACTCCGGATTTCTGGGTTAGTGCGGATATACTGGGTCCATTCTGGGCTCAAGGAAGAAAATCTTTGCTTATTTGCACTTTGTAGCCCATACCTCAGTCACGGAGCAGCCGCTAATGCCATGTGACTAAGGCACTGAGAGTCTCCCAGGTCAGGGAGGGACACATGAGTACTCACCACAGGGACGGGAAGGCGCGTGAGCGCATGCATGCACTGCAGGGCAGCCATCCGGACCACCTGGAACACAACCACAAGGAGGTGAGGGGAGACCCGGAAGCCGAGACCAAAATGCCCAGGGCGCTGGGGTTAAACACACCATGGACGGGCTGGAGCTGAGGTTCAGGAACTTGGTGACGAGGGTGTCCACGTGGAGACTCATGACTTGGGGTGCTTCCAGGAGAAGAGGCTGGAGGCAGCTGAGGGTGGAGAGCTGTACCACACAGTCTGGGCAGGAAAGGGCCTCCAGCAGCAAGGACAGGAGCTATGGGGCAAAGCGGGGATGGGCATGTGGTCTGAAGGGCTGGCGAGCCACCACCTTTTTCTGTTCCACTGGAAAAGCCATGGCTCTGTCCCTTGCTAGAGGCTGCGGCTGTAAAACTCACCGTGGGCAGCTCTGGCAGGAGCACAGGCTTGGGCAGTCTGTTAAGGACATAAGACAGACCCTTCAGGTAATTGGGCTTCACATCTGTGGAAACAGGACGAGAAACTGGAAAGAGCCTGGGACTGGAGCAGCAGCAGAGGCAGAGGCCCCTCACGTTCAGAATCAGCAGGTTGCCAGTCGTGGGGAAAATATGGGCCAGGGATCTGAGCCTTTCGTCTTCTGGGTATAACCAGCCCACAGCTCCGGGCAGCCATCAGGCCCTAAGGGCCCAGGCAGAGGAGGCGTCTGTGTCCGGGGCCCTGCAGGCGCTCCTCACCTTGGGCAGCAGCATGGAAGCCCTGAACCAAGGCAGGCATGTTATCCGTGAAGAACCGCTGACGGAACATGATCCGCACCTCAGCATGGCCCGCGCGAGTCAGCACGTCGGAGCAGTCGGACATGAGCAGAGAGAAGCCATCAGCTGCTGTTGGACCGAGTTCTGGGTCACTCAGGAGCCCCATCAGCTAGAAAGAAAGACACCGAGGAGAAGCTGCTGGACTACTGAGGAAAGAATGGACACTGCATTGGGCTGATGAGGTCCCTGGAAGTCCCTGCTCCGATCCTAGGCTCCCCAGGCTCCAGAAAGGACTTACTCGGTCTGTGAGGCGGGAGCTGAGAGGATGGTACCTGAGCACCAGGGCCTTTGTTACCTGTAATCAGAAGGCACGCATGAACCTTGAGAAGCACATGTTTTGGTTCATGGCCAAGTAGACACATTTTACTTAACTGGACAAGTCCTTACCCAGAGGAGCAATGTGAATGCCGGTATACGACAAGGTCCAGAGCCCAGGCCAGCCTCCACTTTGTCCAGAGCCAGCTGAAGGAATTCATCTAACTGCTGCCCTAGAGAGGAGGGAAGAAATGCTGACGCATGCTGGAGGGCTACTGCCCACCGTCTAAATGCAGAGCTCCCTGGGAAGCTGCTAAGAGTTTTTACTTTTATCACTTGGGATGTAGACACAGAAAACTGGGATCCTCATTTTGTGTGTGTGTGCATTTACAGAGCAGCAGGGCTGTCTACTGGCAGCAAAGAGTAGTCGGTCACAGCGTAGCTGGAGGAGTTAGTTGGACGGCACGCTGCTCTTACCCCCCTCCTCCCCTCAGCCCTGCAATGCTGTGCCTAACTCATCTGTCTCTACTCCCAACGGGAGAGCCTGGACAGCTGACGCCCTGCTGCACTATTAGCAAGCGCCTCTTTAGGGCATTTGGGGAGCTCTGGCTCCAGGCTTGCCCTCCGCTCCTTCTAGTACCTGCGGGGTGCTTGTTGAGGAGGCCTGCAAAGCACTTGGCGGCAGCAGTGGAGGAGAAGGGGCAACTGTGGCTGCAGCTCAGCTGGAGAAGCTCCTGCATGAGTTGGTTCAGCTGAGGGACTTCCACCTACAGAAAACCTGCTCATGTAACGGACCTGGAAAACACTTCAACTCCAAGAGCGGAACAGGGCAGCTGAGCATTCGAGTCCCCAGTGGGGGACATGAAAGGACACCCGCTCAACCTGTGGTAAAATTCAGCCCAGAGCCCCCACCCCCCCAACACCCACCTTCCCTCGGTAGGGAGGCCCCCTCATTTGCGCGCCCACTCACATTTCTCGGCAGGGAGCAGACAAACGCCATGAGCAGGGCCACCAGCCGCCTCTGCCCTGAGGGGCCGTCCTGCCACGGAAGAAGCAGCCTTGAGCCTGTCCTGCCTGTACCAGGCTGGGGGTCCTTCCTCTACCCCAGCTTCCCCTCAGTCAGATCCATCTAGGAGTTTCCTCACCTGGAACGGCTGGAATCTGCAAGGGAAGCTGTTTTCTGGCAGGAAGGAGGTGTCGCCATCCAGGAAGAGGGGCATGATGCGGGCTGCACTCTGGGAAGCTAGGCTGGGGTGGGGGACACACCTGGTTCACTGGGCGCCCTGGCTCCACAGCAGAGCTCTCCCAGCGGGGGTCCACACTACAGCCCCTGAGCCAGAGGGTCAAGCCTGATTATTCTTGAACTCAACAGATTGGGTGGGGCCCAGCAGCTGTGAGTGCCAGTGCCGTGTGGTTCTAGACCCTGGTGGCACACAAGCGGCACACAGCTCAAGCCCTCTTTGGCAGCTCACACTAGCGAGAACACGCAGGACGCTGCGAGGGAGGGGCTTTGGCAAGTTCCCAGACACAGGGATTAAAGGAAAACAGAATTTCCCCATGAACATCTGGAAGCCCCTTTGTCTTTTTAAAAAGCACCACAGGTAATGATTATGCCGATCTATAGCTAAGACCCACTGGCCCAGCTGAGGCCCTGCCACCTAACAGGCCTATGATGCCAAGACCCCCTCCTCTTCCTCTGCCTCCAGATCTGACGCTGGGTACAAGGGCAGCTCAGAAAGCAGCCGTCTTCCCTGGGAAGCCGGGAAGTGTCACTCACTCAGGGCTCAGGTGGGTGGTGGCTGTGCCAATGACAGACACCATGGCAGCTAGGACCTCCTCCTCCAACAGCACTTTCCTGAGCACCGACGGCTCCTCCTCTGCAAAAGTCATACACACACAGCACCATGTGGCCATGGCTGCCTCAGGGAGTCGTGTCATCACCACTCTGTCAGTCATCAGCACCAGGCCCTGTCATCATCCGGATCCTGAGGAAGGATCCGAGTGACAACAGCACCCGTTTTCCATCTGCCTCTAGTGGTTCAATAGTCATCAAGGTAACTCGAAAAGACTAACGTAAGAGCTTCATTTTACTTGGAGACAAGAGTCAAGAACGCAACACACGTACTGCGTTGGGCGAAGAGCAAGGCTTTCACTTTGAGGGTATTTTCAAGCGCTCCATATGTATGTGGACATTGGATAATGAATAAGAAAACTGGATTTGAACTAAAGTATTGACACGAGCACTGAAAGTCCCATGGCCTACCAGAAACACAAATCTGTCTTGGAAGAAGCACAGTCAGAATGCACCTTAGAGTCCAGGGCGGTGAGACCCGCCTCGTGTACTTTGGACACACTGTCAGGGGAAGGGCCTCATGCTTTTGGTAGAGCGTCAGCAAAGAGAGGAAGGCCCTTGGCACGATGGATTGTCACAGTGGCTGCAATTGTGGGCTCAAATGAGAATGAGAATTGTGGGCTCAAATGAGAAACTGTGCCACAGGTCTGGGTAGGGTTCTATTCTGCTTGGGTCACTATGAATTGGAGTCACCACCTAACAGCAGCAGCAGCAGCAAGCAAGGGACTAGGAACACGACTGGCTTAATGGGGCCACTGTGAGCTCTCTGGGACTTTGCACACAGCAGTCTGTATATTTGGCAACAGTGGAAAATGAGTAGCTAGCCAACAGGTAGAAATAATGTCTTTTCAAAGACTTATGTAACATGACCTATCTTCATGGGTTCATATTATTTATACCCACTACTACTGAGTCAATCCTGAATCGGTCTGACAGAACTGAATTGCCCCATAGGGTTTCCAGGGCAACAAATCTTTATGGATGTACAAAAACTGCATCTTTCCCCCCAAGGAGCAGCTGGTGGGTTTGAACCACTGATCTTGGAGTCAAGAGCCCAATCCACTCTGCCACCAGGACTCCTTTTTCATTTACAGGCACCATACATGATCTCACTCTAACCCTAACAACTACCCTGTGAAATATTCCTCTATCTGTTTCACAAATGAGGAAACAAGCAAAATACCTACAAGGCAGATGGTACGGAATGCAGTACCAGCAGCACACAGAGGGTGGCAGAGCTGTTCAACGGAGAGGAAGACCTTCCAGAGGTGAGTTACCTGGCATGGATGCCTGCACCGCCAGGGCAAGCAGGCAAGGAACAGCCGTCTGATGGAAATACCAGCAGCTCTTGGGGTCCTGCTGGCATTTTTCGGCCACTTGCTGTAGGCTTTGACAGACAGCAATAACTTCACTGGATCCCGCAGCCCGGATGCCTGCAAGGTCAGAAAGCCAGAGTACTCTGTAAGGTTTGCACCTCCAGGCAGTTCAGATACTGCAGATGGACGGCAAGAAGGATGAAAAATGAGTTCATCTGTTCAGTACTGAAGCTGTCTGGCTTTGGCTCAGCAACACAAGCTCCTGTAAACATTCTGTTTGACACCGAAGCACCATACTCCCCCATTCTGTAGAGGCGGGCATGGGGCTTGACGAAGCTAGACATGGTTCTCTGTAAGGTCATGGGCCACAGGAGCGCAGCATTAGGAACCAGGCCTGGGTCACACTGAGCCCATTGTTCTTCCTACACGACGCGGCTGGAACCCGTACTCTGGAAGGGTGGGTGTCGAGAAGCAGGCAGCCCCAGGGGTTAGTGTGGGCCTGTGGTGACTGTGCAGTTGTAATAGCTGCTGTGTCTTTCAACTCGGAACAGCAGGTCTCACACAAGTGTGAGGGAGGGTGTCTGACATGTTACTTGGGGGGCCTCGGGAAATGCAGGCTCTCATCAGTGGGCGCCCATGGCCCACATTTCGAGTAGCAAGGCCTTGAAGGCACACGTCTGAGTGCATGCTGAAGTTACCTGGGCACTCCTTTTATTCTTTTTCTTTCTTTCTTTTTTTTTCCAGTCCCGAACCCACTCCTTTTATTCTTGCCCAAGGCCCACCCTTCTTCAGGGATGGAATTTTAAAAGTGTTCACATGACTTTTATGAGCAGCTACAATTAGAGCCACTGCCTTAGACGCATCAGTTCCATACCTGACTCCTGCTCCCCACTCAGCCCAGCTCCTGGCCACTCATTTCTGATTCATGGGAGATGGTTACCTTTGTTCATCTGGCAGAGATGCTGGAGCAACAGTGGGAGGGTCTCCTCAACCAGGCTGGGATGTGTCGATACAGCAGACAGAGCTTGCAGACAGAGCAGATGCCGTGGGCATTTGGAGGGCTCTTCACCTCCAGCCAAATCTGACTCCTCTGACAGCAACACAAGAGACAAGGTTTCACTGTGTGATGGGGAGCATGTCCCCCCACCCCCCCCCAAGTCTCCCTGGAAGGAGGGTTTCAGAAGGTCAGAGAACATACCATCACTCAGCTCCTTGGCAAGCTTGGGCACTAGGTGGCGGCTGAAGGCCACAGGGTAGAGAGTGGCTAGGCTTCCTGATGCTTCCATGGCTGCCATCCTGCTGGGGGCATAGGGCAGAGGAGGATTAGCTGAGCTGTGGCCTCAGGAGGCCACCTGGCTGAAAAGCAGCACTCACGTCCCTATACCACCGAGTTGGACATGGCTTCTTAATGCCAAGAGAAGAACAGCCTTGCAGCTCTCCAACTGGTTAGCAGTCGGCGTCAAAACACGGGGCCCACATCCCCTAAGGAGAGCCAAGGGTCAGAAGCAAGAGCCTCAGTCCTTGCTGGTTCTCTTGTTGACAGACAGGCAGTGCAGAGGGGGCTCGATCTGCTTTAGACCCTCACCAACTCTGGGACTCCTCCTCCAGGAAACTCAGCCTGTACAGGTGGCCCACTGCCAGCTCCAAGTCCTCAGAAGACAGGAGATCTGTGGTCAAAGGGAACAAGAACCTCATCTGTCTTCCCCTGCAGCCTCCCCAAATCCTACGGCAGATCCCAAACCATGTGGAGCTGTGGGGCGAACCAGAAAGCAGACTGCTCTTCACTTAAAGCAGACAGTCTCATGGGAGTCCCATGAGACTGACCCATGCCCTACATCTCTCCCTCCTAGATGTACCTGGCTGGGCACCCAGGACTGTGAGTGTACGGATGCCAACAAGCTGAAGCTGGGTGCTGGGGTCTGTCAGGGTCATGAACACCAGTGAGCACAGCTGATCCTTGAAGCCACTCAGAGGCCTTTCATCTGAGGAGAGATGGTGTAGCGTGAAGCCCTTATATTTCACAGTCCTGACTTCTCTTTCATGATGTGCTGTCTTGTGCTACAACCTCTACACAGGGCCTCTATTCTAAACCACGCTCCGCCCTGCTAGCCTTGGCAAGGCCACATACAGTGACAAACAGCCCCCAGGTTACTGTAACTGCAAGAGGACCTCACCTTTGTCCTCAGAGCCCCATTTCTGCTGCAGCTTCAAAAACCCCAGCATCATTTCAAGGATTGTCCGCCGCTGGTTGCTCTGTAAAGTTTTAAGGGGTGCTGGAGTCAACAAGTACTTATGTATATACACAGGTGTGTGTATCCCCCAAACAGCAGAATGCAGTCTTCTCAAATGCATGTGGAACATTAAGAAGACTGGGCCACAAAACCTTAGTAAATGTTTAAAAGATTAAAATAATAGTATCTTTTCTGGTCACAATTGAATGAAGCTATAAATCAATAATACAAGGAATGAAACTATAAATCAACAATACAAGGAAAAACTGGAAAATTAAGAAAAACTAGAAATTACACTATTTTAACCCGTGGCTCAAAGAAATCACCAGGGAAATTAGAAAATATCTCGAGGTAAATAAAAACAAAACCATACACCAAAAGTTATGGGATGCAGCAAAAGCAGTACTAAGAAGGGAATTTATCCCTATACATGCCAACAATAAAAAAGGGGGGGAAATCTCGGATTAATAGAGAAAAATTAATATGGCACCCCCCACACGCACACAAAGTGAGCACTAGGAAGGAAAAAGACAAAGGTCAGAATGGAGGAAAATGAAACAATAGAAAAATAGAGGTAAATCAACAAAAGTAAAAGTTGGTACGTTGAGAAGATCAATAAAATTGACAAATCACATAAGTCAGGTTAAGGAAGAAAAAAGAGTTTTTAAATTAGTAAGATAAAAGTGAAAGTGGGGTCCTGTTTTACTTTTTAACGTCTGGTTTGATAGAAACAAGAAGGAGGATAGAGTACTACGAACACCGACGTACTGGGTAACTCAGTTGAAACAAGTTCCTAGACACACAAGCTGCCAACACTGATTCATACAGAAATAGAAAATCTCAGGAATTAGTACCTGAAAACACAGACAGACAAACATACCATAAGAGGGCCAGATGGCGTTACTGAACATTACAACACCTGAGAGAATCAACATCAACTTTTCTCAAACTGTTGCTACAGACGTGAAAGGCAGAGACACTTCCTGACTCGTGCTAAGGCGGACTCTCCAGCCAGTGAAGCCAGAAACGGGTGTGGGAGAGAGCTATCAGGCCATCAACGTCATCTCTCTTGAAATTGTCAACAAAACACTGGCGGACCAAATTTAGTGGAATTTCGAAAGGATTATATCAAGTAGGATTTGTCCTTAGACTGCAAAGATGGTCTAGCATACAGAAGTCAATCAATATAATAAACCACATTAACAGAATGATGGAAGAAAACCAACATGATCGTCTCAGTTGATACATAAAAAGTATTTGACAAATTCTGGCCCCTTTCATGATACAAACACTCAAAGTAGGGATAGAAGCTCAACAGGATCGAGGCTATCCAGGAAAACACATCAAACTACCTAACATTATACTCGGGCAAACGTCGAAAGCTCCCTCCAATGAAAAACAAGACAAGGAGGTTGGCTTTGGGCACTTCTATTAAACATAGCACTGAAAGTTCTAGCCAAAGTAATTAGGCAATAAAACACAACCCAATAGCAAATGATGTCCTAAAATTATTTTTGTTCATATACAGCATAATTCCTGATCAGAAATCCTAAAGAACTCACCCATTAGACCTAATGAACGTAACAAAGGATGTGAAAGATTTACACATTAAAAACTACAAAATACTGCTCAAAGAAATAAAGACCTAAAAAAGTGGAATATATCCAGATGGGAAGGATTTAATGTTATTAATATTGTTCAAATGACAACACTACTCAAGGCTACCTACAGATTCAATGCAATCCCAATCAAATTCTCAAGTGTTTTCTACATAAACAGGAAAATCCATCCTAAAACTAGTTAAAAAATATAAAGGGGCCTGAATAGCCAAAACAAAAAGGTAAAAACACAAGAATGAGGGCTCACACTTCCTGATTTTGAAACGTGCTACAAATGTACAGTGATAGTAGAGACGGCAAAAGGTTGGACAATGTAGATCAATGAAATAGGGCAGTGCGCCTAGGGGTAAATGCTTACTCTACGGTCAACTGTCTTTCAACCAAGGTACTAAGACCATTCAATGGGGCAAGGGCAGTCTTTTCAGCAAACAGTTCTGGGAAAACTAGATAGCCACATGTAAAAGGATGAATGAAGTCAGTTCTTACCCCATGTATAAAAATTAACTCAAAATAGTCACAGTCCTACGTTTAAGAACGAAAGTGTAAAACTCTTCGGTGAAAGAAACACAGGGAACAGCCGTCCTGACTCTGGACCTGGCGGTGGGCACGGCACCAAAGCAACAGGAGGGAAAAGCAGACAAAGTGGACTTTATCGAAGGAGAGCAGAGGCCACCGCAGAATGGGAGAGAGCACGGCACGTCTTCACCATCTACAGACCTTGGACATACCATGCTACACGAAGTAGGCCAGATACAGAGACAGCTCTCGTACGATGGCACCGTTCTGAGGTATTTAGAACAAGGAGATTGATGCAGAGACAAAGCAGAATGGAGATTACGGAGGACTGAAGGGGAAGGGAGTAAGATACCATTTGATGGGTAGAGCATTTCTCATGGGGATGATGAAAGCATTCTGGCAGCAGACAGTGGCGATGGTTACCTAACACCGTGAATGTAGGGAATGCCACCGGATTGTACATGTGATAATGATACAAATGGTCACTTTCATGTGTATTTGCGCGCACACACACACACACACACACACACACACACACACACACAGAGTCAGAAAACATGAGCAAAAGAACCAATGGTAGTTAAGGGGTGCAAAGTCTACCATCTATACCGGGGTCTTAAGCTCCAAGCCTCTAGGAGAACGAGGTCCCGGCACCCACGTCCCACCACCTCCTCACCTGACTGTGCCTGTGGAACTGCTCCAGTAGCAAAGGCAGGACGTTGCTGGTGATGTGGTCGCAGGCCCGGGCGGACGCCCCAGCGGCTGCCTGCAACAGCTTGGCGCTAGGCCACACCAGCTTCATGTCCGGTTCACAGAGATGGTGCCTGCAGTCTAGAGAGGTAGCGTATCATAGACCTGGGAGTGGGCCCGGCGCTGCCGGCTCCCCTGCAGTCCACCATAGCCGACGACTGTGACCTGAGTCAGAGGGCTGGCAGTTACCCCTCCAACGGTCTTCAACTGAAGCAGGACCACAGCCCCCACGCCATTTTCTTCTCTCTCGTGCGCTCACCCCCCTTCTGTCTGCCATCGCCCCATTACCCTGTAGGATGCTGCTGAGGAAGGAGTCCAGGAGGTCCTCAGCATCAGCCCTCAGCACAGAGCGAGACAGACACGCAGTCAGGGAGTGGAGGGCTGCCAGGCCCTCTGTCTCCACCCGCTCACTGGCCGTCTGGAACACCTGTCAGGGAGGATCCCAGGGCTACTGAGGTGAGCCTATACCGCGTGAGACCCCACCCAGCCACTGATTCGTCCCTTGGAGCGGTGGGGGCCTTGAGAACCTTAAGAGCACAGCACTGGAAATCAGTCCCCCCATGAGTTCTTCTCACCCTGCTGGGGTCCCAGTAGGGCTGACACGAATGCTCTCTGAGGAATGGGGTGTGCACTGTCAGCAGGAGCTGTGTAGGCTCCTCCACTGTACTCCTCTCCCTTGCCTCTGGGCAGCATGGGGCCACGAGCTACGCTCTTCTCCAGGAGAGGGCAAGACAGGGGCACGTGCCAAGGCGCTACCCCTAGGCAGCGACCCTCACATGGGACTCTTTCCCTTGTCACGCAACTAGAAGTTTGCCTCCTTGCTTGGCTCCAGTGGCATTACAGGGTGAAGGGCAGGGTGTCGTATTTTCCCTCCCACCTGGCAGCGGGGAGTGATGAGTTGTGAATCTGAGTGACACTCACCTCCCTGCGAATAGAAGCCCACAGGCTGGGGAGGAAGTCCTTCAGCTCCTCCTGTCCACACACAGCACAGCAAGCACTCTGCAAGGAACCAGCCTCACCTGCCAGCCACCACACTCGGGCCGCAGCAGGTGCAGGGAGCCTGCCGCTCGGCAGAAAAGCCAGCAGCAGTTTCAAACAGTGCTACCCAAAGCACAGGGAACTAGGAGCTCATCCATCAGGGGACAGATGTAAAAGCCGCTTGACTAATGAGGGAGGTCGAGCTGGCCTTCCCTAGGTTACCTTCCATGACTACGGGATGAGGTAATGTGCGGCTGGGGGCTTTCGTCAACACACAGACACCCGATCACGGGTATTCTCCTTCAGAGCCCACTGATCTGTTCCCTGGCTCTCTAGGAGTCCACAGTTGCGAGAACCTGACTGGCCTAAAGGCAGCATATGGACCCCAGAAGGAGCAAACTCACTCACTAGTGTCTGCAGAGAATCAAGCTTGGCACTCAGCATCTCGGAGTCCACTTTCTCGATCAGAAGGGGCAGCAGGAACTATGGGAGAGAAGAAGGAACTTAAGTCTGGGATGGGCAGTGGCTCAGCCACATCAGGTCAACAGTGTCCTCCGCTGTCCCAATCCTCAGGGGCAGTGTGCTACACTGAAGACTGCTACACTCAAGACTCGGGCAGCCACGGCCAGGACTGGAATTATGATTATTTTTAACAGTTTTATTGGTACTTCATCTACATATCATACAATATCAAGAAGAGTTGCACACTCTTTACCACAATCAATTGTAGAACATTTTCTTTTCCCCCCAACTCAGTGTTATTCGTGCCAAGCCTGGAATTATCATGGAAAAGTCACCTTTCGGCCAAACTGTGAGCCGACCCCAAATCACCTAAAAAAGGGCCTAGTTCACCTGGGGCATTTCCAAAGCAAGCGTTGTGTACGGTAAATTACAATTTTAAAGGAAAAGCTTGCTAGTTTGGAGGTTTGGCTACCAGATGCCACAAGCCACTCTCAAAAATGTCTATGAAATTTTCCTTTTATCAGAGCTGTCTATGGCCTAGGGCTATAGATCCCAACCTTGGGAGACCCACCTCCGCAAACCGGGGTGTTGAAGCCAGCACAGCCCGAAGACTCAGGATCAGATCTTCCCTCTGGATGCCATGGGGATCGTTAGGGGGCTGGGGAGGGAGAAGAGTATGGTTTGTACAACAGGGTGCTGTTTATACCCCACCTGGCGGAGCGGTTGGATGGCAGGCCCCAGTGAAAGACAGGCTTGCTCTTGAGGGCTGGGAATTCTTCGTTTACATTTTTGTTCCAAAAACTTAGTTAACTTTTCGTTGTGAATTGGGTGAAATTTCCAGAGCAGCTCCTCATTTTTCACATTCAAGAATTCCTACACATTGTTTCATCTGATTGCAACTCCCACAACAGTAATCTCACCTATCTCCCCACCCCACCTTCCTGTTTTCTGTGGCAAATAAACCCAAAGAACACTTCACAGCACATTAAAATTACACGAGAGTAAAATTTCCGTGCCCATCAGTAAGATGTTATTAAAATACACTTTAATCTACATACTATTTTTTTTGTACTTTTAAGGGCAGGGATGAATAGTTGCAAAACACACCACCGGACTCACAAAGCCTAAAATTTTTACTACCTAGCTGCTCCTGATCCAGTTGCATATAAAATCCACCCCCGTCGGCGCCGTTGAGTTGGTTCTGCACACAGCTAGCCTAGCAGAGAAGAACTGCCCCCGGTTTCTCAGGCTGTCAATCCTTCCAGGAGCAGGAGGTCTGTCTGTCTCCCGCAGAGCAGCTGGAGCGTTGGCACTCACAGGGGCCCTCACACGGACGAGTGAGACCCACTATGATGACAGAATGTGACTAGAGTGGGTTGGTAAGAAGAATATTTCTAGCACAACTAGGCTAAAGCCAGGCCTCACTTTGAACCAGTGTCTTGGCAGGAGCATTCTGCTTCTCATAAACGACAGTGCAGGGCGACCAGCACATTCCGCTCAGACAGAGAAAGTCTCTTGGAGGAGAACGGATCGGTGGCGGTGAGGATGTGTTAGAGACATGTCTTCTTCCCTTTAACATGGACTCATGCTCACTGCACCATCTTTCCAAAAAGTGGGCAATACCTTGCCGCTCCCCCCATTAGATTCTTACTTTTTGATCCGGTGATTCCACTTAAGAATTTATCCTACCATTGTATTCAGATACATGTGAAATGAGTCACGTCCAAGGTGTTGAAGTTGTAGCATGGTTAATAGTGGCACAAGACTGAGAAGAGCTGTACCCCACAGAGGACTGGCGAAATGAACTATGCAGTCCTGTGTAAAGGAATATTATACAGCCACGAAGAATGAAAAGGTGACTTTATATGCAAATCTACAAGATACTAGGCTGTCTATGTCTGAGGGGCTGTAAAGAGTTTGCTGCAAACCTCCTTGCATGCTACCATTTTGGAGGCAAAGCGTCTGTTTACACCAGAGCAAAACAGCTCCGACAAGAAGGCCGAGAGAATAAGTCTGGGGATGGGAGCGTGCGGCTCCCGACCCTTGTGTGCCTTCTGAGTCTGAATCATGTGAATGCATGATCTTTCCAAAACACCAAAATATAAGCTAAAACAAAGCCAAAGCAGAGAATCCCAGTAGCCTAAAAGGGGGCTTTCAAGAGTGTACATTATTCTGCATCAGAAAGAAGGGATTCTGGCTTGAAAGAACTGAACAGAATTTCGAGACAGAGAGGTCCATGCAACGTGATGTCAATAAAAATCAAATGGTGATATGGCCCTTACAGTCATAAGGTGGTTGTGTAACTTTAAAGGAAGTGAGTCTACATTTAAATGTTGTTTGCTGTGCTGCTTCGTCTCTTCCAACCCCTTCCTGTCTGTAGCACACAGGACCATATAAACACAGTGAGGTGACCCCGAACATTTGGAAGTCAAGGGGTAATGAAGATGCAGCGTAGGAGGGAGGGAGGGGCTGAGGGGGTCAGAGCCAGCACTCTCTGCACACACTGTGCCCCACTTCAGAGTCTTCTCTGCCAAGGAAAACCCCACCGTATCTGTGAGCTCACATACAACTAGAGCACCGCTCACTTGGATACACAGTCTCTACTGTTAGCTACACATCTCGACAAATGAAAAGGACAAAGGAACCATGTTATACTCTCCAGGGAAGGAATCGTTTTTATAATTCTACAGGTTCCAGGATACCTGCCGAACTGACTCCTCAGCGGTCCCACGCTTCTCTACTCCTCATCACTAAGCATAAACTCGGAGGGTGGGTATGGTGTCTGCTTTGTTCACTGTTGTGTTCCCAGTGCCAGGAACAGCACCTGGCACACAGCAGGCACTCAGGGAATACTGGAACGGATAAGGTGCTACTTACAGGCGTAAAATCAATAGGAAAATAACAGGATGTCACTTCGAACAACTCCTCCACGAAGGGCCCTAGGGGAAGAGACAAAGAATCAGGCTGATGTGTAAATTCATCTATCCTTCAGAACCTAGCCATCTAATTCTGGGGCAACAGGACATACCAAGGCTATAGTCTTTGGAGATGAGGTCATGGGCGATGGAGAAAGCCACCAGAAGATTACGGGGGTCCTTTTCCCCATCCATCACCTGGATGAAGCCGAAGGTGAAGTCAGCTCCTAGACCCTTCAGCTCTGGGGAGAAGAGAACAGGGTCACTGGTGCCCCCCCCCCCGCCCCCCGGCAGGCAGCGGACTTCCTCCTGGCTCTCTGCTCCCCACCAGCCTTCCCTTTCTTGTCTGTGGGAACAGTCAGTCGCTGTGTTCCTATTCCAGGAAGGCACTCAGTGAAGAAGGGGTGTGTAACCACTGCATGTGGTGGGTAAACATCAGCCCAAACACGATTCGCCCTGCCTTTCCTGAGAGGAGTGCAGCCCACCGGGGCCCTTTATCACCCTCTCTGGGAGCACTGGCTCTTGTATGGAACCCCCAAGGTAAGATGAGTTCTACTACGATGTGTGCTTTTCAGACTTCCCAGAGCACCACCCTGCCTTGTACCTTCCTCCCGGGTCTGCATGAAGTTGGTGATGATACTGTAGATGGTATGTCGGTCCACCTGTGGCAGGGACTTGGGGGAGGGAGAGAAAGGAAGTCAGGAAAGCTGGCATCCAAAGAACACTCGGTGGACCCACCACTGCCTGCTCCTCAGTGCCCAGGCGGACAGCGCCCTGCAAGCCAGCCCGAGAGGAGCTACAGAGAAAGGTCACAGCAGGGGCCAAGAAATCAACAACTCTTTGATTTCGCTTTACTGTCTTTAGGGGCAAGCGGCAGACGTGAGATGTAATGCCTGTTTACATTTTTTTTCCTTCCCAACAGTTTTATTGGAATGTAATCCCCATATCATACAATTTAATAGTTTAATCACATCAAGTTGAGTTGTAAAATCATCACCATAATCAGTTTTTGAACGTTTTCTTCACGTTTGTATTTGTGATTAGCTCCCTATTTCCTCCCAACCTCCTCTGCCATGAACATACCATTAACCCAGTTACTCTCTCTATAGATGCAACTATCCTGGATTTCATATATAGAAAAACAGTAAAAAACAAACAAACAAACAAAAAACCTAACGAGAACAACAAAGTAAAACAGATAAAAACCTGAATAGAAAAAAAGGTTAAAAACGAGAACAAATTTAAATGGCTCATAAGGAAGATCAAATGACAGGGTGCGAAAACTGAACCACACCTCACCCACACCTCTCCCTGTAGCAACACAGGACTGAACCACACCTCTCCCACACCTCTCCCTGTAGCAACACAGGACCGCCTAAATAGTTGGGGTCTTCAGGGTTCAGAACTTAGACTATCTTCTGCCATCAAGTGGGGCACGAGGCAGAGAGAAACACCGGTGTGCCTGCTGCTACTCACCTGTACGTGCACCTCCTGGAAGATGGCTTTAAGCACAGAGACGGCCAGCCCTGGAGGCAGGGCCACACACAGGCTCTGTGGGAGAAGACAGGAGGCGTGAATCTGGAAGGGGCTACAGAACAGCCTCCAAGACGCAATCCATAGCAGGCTCTGAGGTCCAATGGGACCCCCCCCCCCCAGCTCGGGGAGAGGCTCCCAAACGAGACACGTGCCCCCCACCAATCTCAAGGGGGTGGTTCTCTGTCATTCTTTTCAGTTTGGCTCTGAACTTCACCCCCACCCCTACCCCCAAAGGATATTTTTAATTCTTTAAATAGAAAAAACAGAAGTGCAGCTGGTTGGCATGAACTTGGGCCCGTCTGCACATTTGTCTCAGCACCTAAAGCCTCACCCCCAAGGGACAAGGAGAGAATTCATGGTGGGAAGAAAAGGCGAACTCACCAGTGCCCTCAGGCCCTGCAGGACGGGCGGGACCACGAGATGGTGGTCCTTTAGCCGGTTCTCGTAGAACATGACCAGGTGCACCACTGCCCAGAGCAAAGCCAGCCGTCAGTCCACGCAGCGCAGGGAGCCCCTGCCAACTCAGGCCTTTCCTGAACTTGGCAGGGCTGTCCCTGCCGCGGCTCCACTAGTTTCTCTCCGGGCCCCTCCCATCCCAGGCTGCCTTCCTCTGTGGGTCAGGAGAACAAGCAAACAGCCCTCATCCTTCTCACAGTAGGCCTACAGGTAACCCCTTCCCAGACCCACAACTGCCTGCTTGCTTTGCCTTCAATGGCGGAAGGGTAAATATTGCACGCTGGCAGGCTCCACGGTCTCTGTCGCCGCTCAACAACGCTCAGCTCTGCCGCTCTCTCTGACAAGCACAGATAGAGCATCAAGAAGCAAGTGGGTCTGGGTGCCAAAGAAACGATCAAACCAGGCTTGCCCATTATAGAAAACACGAATGTCGCTGCTCCCCCACCCCCACCCCCCAGCACTTCAGAGGGCTTTGCTATTTCACCACCTTCCCTTCATCTAAGAAAGACTACTTTTGTTCACTTCAGCCAGAAGGGAGGACCCACTGAACACTGGCCTCAGGCTACATTTGTTTCCACTCTAATCGTCTCTGCCACACACAGGACCTGCGGTGAACGAAGACCCCGGATTAGCAGTTCCCAGACACCTCCTGTCAGCCTGCACAGACAGAGGCGGCCTGGGCTCAGGAACCCAGAAGGCACTCCTTACTAGTGAGGCTAGTACCTTCCTTTTCCAGGAGCAAGGAGTGACAGTGCAGTAGCACCTGCGACAGCAGCTGGATTCCTCGGGCCCGAGTTCGCGGTTCTGGATTTTCTAGAGAGGACCTGGGGTGGGGTGGGGGTGGTGGACAGATGTAAGATACAGAGAGGCTGCCATTACCAGCTCAAACCCTTGAAAGAATAAATAGTTTGCAATTAGTCACACTCGGCCCCTGGGCAGGGAGGCAGGGCCCAGTATTGAGAGGGTGAACACAGCCCCAAACAGATGGCTCTGCAGTCCAGGCATTACAGATGCTAGCATGGACGGAAAGCCAAAGCCCCCTCCCAGCTGCTCCGGCCTTGCTGGAGGCATGGCCGACACCACAGCCAACAGGGGAATCTATCTCCAGGCACCCCAACGTGGCACCCAGGGGCACTGTGCGTATTGCCTCCCCGGTGCCATCACTGTGGCACCCCTCTGAAACACAGCTCAGATGACTGGCAGCCGCAGTTTCTACCAAAACAGGACCAGAAGCCTATTTTGGTAAAGTACTGCTAAGAAAAAGATACTGAAAGCAACCACACCCAGGTCATGGGGGTGGGGGTGGGCGGGAGGAAACACTAGAACTGGATGGAGGGTTATGGAGTGAGATGGTCAGAATACACACAGGCTTGAATGGTTTAGGGTTATTGCTATGGGAGAAGTAAGGGGATATGACGCGTCTCTAAATGGGCTCCACAGAGATTCGATTTACACAGCCTGGGGCATGGGACGAAGCAAAACAAGTAGGAAATAGACTTCTGGCGGATAGCTGAGCTGGCCCTGTGAGGTAAGTCTCAGAGATAAGGACATATATAACGAGGGTAATCAGGCAAAAATATGGTCACTTTTGGTAAGATCCCCAGGATAGGAACATGTAGATAGGTCTTTGTCCAGGAAGTAGAAAAATGCACTCAGTACATTTAGAAATGGACCAAGGCACACAACTGTTCACGGTAGCGTTACCTGGAACAGCCACGGAGTGGAAGCAACCCCTGAGCCCACCAGCTGAGGCATGGTTAAACAAAATGTGGTCTACGTCCAAATGGAGCCCAGGCCCTGGAATATTCTCTGGTCACGGAACGAAATGAAGTCCCGAGACCTGCTAGAATGTGGATAACCTTTGCAAACATGCCGAGTGCAAGAAGGCAGTGCTGAGGGCCACAGAGAAGATCCCTCCATTTGTGGGAAACCACAGACGAGGCAAACCCAGAGCACGCAGACAGCAGCGGGACGGGCCCAGGCGGGGTGAGAATACCCAAACGCGGATGACAGTGGTGGTTCTATCAATCTCTGAACACATTCATGGCCAATGAATCCATTCCAGCTCCCAGCGACCCCCTGGGACAGGGCAGGACTGCCCTAGGGTGTCCTGGACCGGAAGTCTTTGCAGGAGTAGAAAGCCTCACCTTTCCCCCCGAGAAGCTAATGGTAATGTTTGAACCACTTAGCTTGTGGTTGGCAGCCCAGTGCTTACTAATCACTCCACCACCGGGGCTCCTCTGGAATACACTGGAAGCCACTGGAGTCCATATTTTAGAATGGCAAACTTCGGTACAGGAATTGCATCTCAATAAAAAGGCCATTTAGGAAAACGAAACTCGCCCACTACCTCCAAGTTGATTCCGACCCACAGTGACCCTATAGGCCAGGGTAAGGCTGCCCCTGGGGGGTTGAGACTGCACTCTTCCCAGAAGTAGAAAGCCTTGTCTTTCTCCCGAGAAGTGGCTGGTAGTTTCACACGGCTGGCCTTGTGGCTAGCAGCCCGACTTGTAACTCCGACCACTAAGAAATGGAACCCAGGCCAGTTACAGGAGTAGCACCCAGGGGTCTTTTCCATGGGAGACATGCCCAATCGTGACTTAGCTTCCCCTCAACTTGGCACATTCCTAGTTTGTTTCAGAAGATTTTAAGGGTTTTTTAACAGTGAAGTAAAGGAGTCCTGGTCACACAGTGGGCAGCTAATTGCAGGGTCAGCAGTTTGAAAACAGAAGCCATTCCAAGGTGGGGAACTGGGGCTTTCTACTCCCCTAAAGATTTAGTCTCGGAAACCCAGAGAGGAAGTTCTACCTGCCTACAGTGTAGACTTGTGACAGGGAGTAATGAATGGTGAGATAAAGAACATCAGGCCTTCGACTCTAAGTGCACACTTGAGGGGGTGCTTTGAACACTTGGCCCTAACACTGATCTTTCAACCGTGCCCTCAAGTCCTTTCCTTTAGTGGGCATCTGGAGCAGGGTCAACCACTAGTGGTTCTGAGGCAGCTCCAGGCTGAGTGGAATCTCACAGGGATGGAGAAGCCCAAGGAAGCACAGGTAGAACCCCAGCTCTAATTAAGTAGCAGGTGATGGTCTTCCACCACACCACACCCCGCCTGTTACCCCAGATCTGTGTGCGAAGCCAGGAGCTCATGTGGCCAGCATGCTCTTTGCCCCCAACGCTTCCCCAGGAGCCGTGTACCCTTTATCAGAATGCACAGGCGAGGCCGAGGTTTGCTTACCCAAGGGCTTCCACCACGTGCAGCACCGTGTAGCTGCCAGATTTCACATCTAGAGAGGAGAGAAGGGAGAGATCAAATTAAGGACAGGAAAATCCTCTTGCAGGGCGCAGTGACTCAAGTTCCGTCCAACTTGAGGCTTGGTACCCCTGGGCTGCTGTGCCGTCAAGAACCCCACCGGCACTTAACTGCAACTCTTCAAATACGCAGCTTCAGATATAAGAACTGGGGGGAAAAAATCAAGAGAAATACATGGGGGGGGCGGGGTTTAAAGATTAGTGGAAAAATGGAATCAAAAGATGGAACTGTTTGAAGCCCCTTTGTAACTAAAAGGAGCCCTGCGTGCACAGTGGTTCCGGGAAAGGCTGCTAACCAAAAGGCCAGTAGTTTGAAACCACCAGCTGCTCTCAGGAGAAAGATGCAGCTTTACTCCGGCAAAGATTTACATTCTCAGTCACCAAAAGGGGCAGTTTTTGACTCTTATCTTACAGGGTAGCTATGACTTGGATCAACTTGATGCCTGTGAACTTGTAACTGGAAAAAATACAGATATCGTATCAATCCATAGTTCAGAAATGTTTTATTGCAGTAGCTAGGGACATGATATTCTGAAATTCACACACACACACACACCCCCTCCCTTGTTGCACAATGGCTAGGGACATGATATTCTGAAACACACACACACACACTCCCTCCCTCCCTTGTTGCGCAATGGCTAGGGACATGATATTCTGAAACACACACACACACACACACACACTCTCTCTCTCTCTCTCTCTCTCTCTCTCCCTCCCTCCCTCCCTTGTTGCTCAATGGCTAAGGGCTCTCAGCTGTTAACTGAAAGGCTGGCAGATCAAACGCCCCCACTGGCTCCGTGGGAGAAAAGGCCTGGCGAGCTGCCCCCTTAGAGGTTACAGAGCATGGGGCAGTTCTACCCCACCAGTGGGAGTTTATTATGAAGACGTTCTTTAGAAAATTGAAAACCGTACCATAAGGCGGCAGGGAGTTGCCCTGCGGAACTGCATTTTCCCATCATGACTATATCTATTAGTAATTTTTGTTGGGAGACCTTAACCCATGTATCCTACAATTCTGGTCTTGCCCCTTCCGACTTCTTTGTGTTCCCCCAACTCAAAGAACATTGAACGTGAACATGAGCTGACACTCCTGAGGGTCTCCAAAGGGCCGCTTTGACATGGTTTAAATCAGAGAACTTCTCATTCAGGGAAAGGTTCCCTCTGCCTTCAAGTCAAGTCAGAACTGTTCCTTAGGGTTTCTGAGACTGTAAGTCTTTATGGAGCAGGCAGCCTCGATTTTCTCCTGCAGGGTGGCTGGTGGGCTTGAACCACCACACTTGTGGTTAGCAGGTCAAGGTTCGACCCAGCACCACCAGGGCTACTTTGGGGGAAGGGCTTGAGAGATGGAAACACTGCCTTCCAGAAGTCACAGATGTAGGTGGAGGATATTATCAAGGAACAAGAGCCTTTTATTTTGACATTTTTGTAAGCTATGTCTTTATTCAAATGCTTCATATGCATGTGAGAGCTGGACAATTAATAAGAGAGCTTGGGAAGAATGGATGCATTTGAATGAGGGTGCTGGCAAGGATCACTGGACTTACAACGGGCTGCCAGAAGAACCAACACTTCTGTCTTGGAAGAAGTGCAGCTAAATGCTCCTGAGAACCCAGGATAGCAAGACTTTGTTTCATACGCTTTGGACATCTTATCAGGAAAGACCGGTGCCTGGAGAAGACATGGTGCTTCTCAGTGAAGAGTCAGTGAGGACGTGGAAGACCCACCACGAGACGGGCTGATACCGTGGCAGCCACAGGCTCCCCCATCACCACTGTAGGTCGCGCGTGGGCCAGAAGTGCTTTCGTTATGTTGTTATACATAGGAACACCCCAAGGGGGCGCCACTGGGTGGCATCTCACAACAATGATTCTGAAGCAAGATTTTTGGACTTCCCCACCTATCTACTCAATGAAACATTAGTTCATTCAGCTCGAATCCAGTTCCACAGGCTGTGTGCGCTCTGGCCTTCTCCCCCACCCCCGGCATATTTTTCTCTGACATTAAGAAACCTGGTTCTCATTATCTACCAGTTAATATTTGTTCAGCCTTGGTCCAGCTGTAAAGTCCTTCCAGAATTGTTAACCCCTACCCTGTGAGAAACAAGTCAGAAGTACAGTGCTGTCTTTTGCTTAGTTCTACAGATTCCAGACAAAACACTGCTTTTGACGTGACTTAGGTCAGTTCCCCTCACCCCCACCCACCTCTGCCGCGTCCTAGTCACACGGTGAGATTCACTTGCCACACTCTGGCAGGTGGAGTCTGACCCCATCTTCGGATGGAAGGGTGATTGCACCGCGTACATCCTTGTCTACCTTTGAGTGCTGAACCACACACATGAATGCACAGCGGATTCTGGAAATGCAACCTTAGCTCGACGACGACGACTCACACACATCTAAGAGGAGCACCCTGGGATGCGTCTCCCAGGGCAAAGGGCAAGCGGTGGCCAAGAGCTTGGTGCGCTTAGAGGGGTTGGAGCCAACAGTGTGGCCTGGCCACCAGGGAATTTCTTCTAGTAGCCTACTTTGGGTTCCCAACCCACCACCCACCTACCTACCAAATACCCACTTTTCAATGTAGGAGCCCTGGTGGCAAAGTGGTGACAAGTTGGGCTGCTCACCGCAACGTCAGCAGTTCTAAACCACCAGCCACTCTGCAGAAGGCCGATGGGCTTTCTACTCCAGTCAAGAGCGACAGCCTCAGACACCTGCAGGGGTAGTTCACTCTGTCAGCATAGCCCCAGTGCAGTGAGTGCGGTTTTCTCACCATCCAAGAATTTTCTGGCTAATGTGAAAAATAAGCGGGATGGAGTGAGGGACCGAGGGCATCGGGACGCTTGAGAAGGCCCCTGAACTTGGAGTTGCCATGGCTTCTGTGGGCTGGGTTAGGCTGGGTGACACGGGGCAGCAGGTCACTCTGGTACAGTCAGGCAGAGAAGGCGAGCTCCAGTCAGGACTCAGGTCGTGACTGGCACCAATTTAGACACCAGGCACTCTTAGCCCTACTCGTGCCAGGACATGGAAGGCCCAGCTGCTGCCCCTGCTCCTGAGAAAGAGCCAGGGGGAAAATGAACAGGCCGTGGGGGTGGGGTGGGGGGGTGGAGACAGCAGCCAGACTCGCAGGACAAACCAACCAAGGAACTAACTACTAGCTGGCTTCCACATCCACCTCCTTAATGGCAAGACTGAGAGGAGCGGCACCCCCATTTCTGGGTTACACAGCTTGAAAGAGCGCTGGACCGTTAGGCCCTTAGGCAAGGAGTAGAAAACAAAAACAGTTTTTTTGGGAAGCCCTTGGTAAGAGGCCAACAAACTCGTGCAAACACCCTGAAAATGAAGGAAGGATGCCGAGAAGGAGCCAGCAGTTGAACCCAGGAAGCCCAAGGGCCCTGTAACTGTCCATAGCAAAGGGAGCCCCTGAGCAGAATCCCCCAGCCCTACTTCAGTCACACCATCAAAACCCCCAGGGGATGCTGGGCCAGGGTCCAGTTTTGGAAATGCAAGTGTCTAAGGCCTGCTAATTAGGTGCCACTCTGTTGCCTCTATGTTTTCATGAAACACAAACAAACAAAACCACGAGGTACAATTTACTCACGGTGGGATGCACAGATCTCAAATGTATAACGTGGGGAGCTTTAAGAAAAATATCTATCTGGGAAACGGCAGACATTCCCACCACTCCAGAAAGTTCCCTCATGATCCCGACCAACTCCCACACCCATAGGTTGCTGCCTGTGGTGCATTTTAAATTTTAAAACTGAAAAAAGAAAAGATAAATAATTTATAAATCATCAAGGGTTCATGAGGGAGGGGGAGTGGGGATGGAGTGGGGAAAATGAGAAGCTGATGCCAAGGGCTTAAGTGGAGAGCAAATGTTTTGAGAATGAGTGCAATGAATGTACAAATGCGCTTTACACAATTGATGTATGTATGGATTGTGATAAGAGTTGTATGAGCCCCCAGTAAAATGATTAAAAAAAACAAAACAAACAAAAAAACACCCAGAAAACCAAAACCTTCTTTAGCATTTTGCATACATCAGTATGCAACCAGCTACATAATAACTATAAAACTCAGTGCCACGGGGTTGATTCTAGCTCATGGCCATCTGGTACGACACGGCAGAATTGCCCCTGTGGGTTTCCAAGACGTTGGCTCTGAAAGCCTCATCTTTCTCCCGAGGAGTGGTAGGTGGTTTCAAACGGATGACCTTGGCGTTAGCAGCCCAATGCATAACCACTATGGCACCAGGGCTCCTAGTAGGGGCAAAGATACATCCCTGTGCGCACGACTCCACTCCCGACTCCAGCAACCTCTCCCGGGAGGACCTTTTAGCCTCCACGTCTCTCAGGGCACCCCATCTGCACACACATTAAAGAAAAAGGAAGACACCAGAAGGCCATCGTGACAGTGGAGCCCAAGACTCCCTCCGGAGAGCGCCCCGTCGGACATGGAGGGAAGGGAGGAAGTGGTCCCTTACAGTGCTTGCGAAAGAGGGGTGTCGAAGAGCAAAATCATAAATCTGACCGGAGCAACTGAAACCTTGTTAGCAGATCCCCTCTATCATGCAGGCTGGACCTGATCTGCTTTTCAAAATTTTCCCTATTTTTTGGTTTGTATTGTTTTCTTATTATTCCTATTAGAGTGTATCTCAGAGGTGTCATGTCAGGAGAGGTCGCTCTCTTGAACCCGTGTTACATGTTTTTCTGTTTTTCAGTATAAGAAACCTAGGACTGATGAACCTACAGGGCAGCAAGTAGAACAAGAGGCTCGGGGGGTGCAGTGGTGGAGGGGGGGGGAAGGACGATGTCAAGGAGTCCATGTAAAAAGAATGTTTGGAAACTGGTGGCAACTGAACACTCGACATGACTGAAATCTGTAATGATGGATGTATTTTATTTTTTTTATGATAGATGTCTTAAATCCTAACTAATAATAAAAAAGGAGAGGAGAGAAAGCCATCATACAGTAGT